AGCCATAGAAGACTGCTAAAAGCGCATTAGGCGAAGTGCTAAAACTGATTGGCGAACTACAGTGTGAACTTCCCCTATATGGAACTAACTGTAAAAGAATATGCTACCTAACAAAACGGCCAAAACTTGATCTTCTTGGTCTAGATATGTTACAAAAACTTGGAATGATGGAAATACCCATTGACAGTGTCTGCAATGTGTCGTATTCATCGTTTAAAACCATGATATTTGCAAAAACGACAGGTAAAAGGTTGCTAGGAAAACTAAGGAGAAAATTTGCTGCTGTTTTTAAGAATACCATTGGTCACTGCACCAGGATGTAAGCTAACTTGCTAATGAAACCAGATGCTAAACCTATTTTTACCTTTGAAGTGTTCTGAATCGCATGCCGCCCTTGAACTAGTCGACCAGGAACTTGAACATTTGCAAAAATCTGTTGTAACCTAATTAGTCCAACACTATGAATGGACAGAACCGATCGTAGTGATTAGGAAGGTCAGTGAAACTACATCATATATGCTGACATAACCGGTTTAAACATTGCACTGGATGTATATTATTACTGGTTACAAGTTCCTGAGGGCCCGTTTGCTAACCCAAGTGGTGAAAAAGGTTTTAAGAAAATAGACTTTCGTTGACTATCTGCAAGTGAAAGTAGACGACGATTACAGAGAGATTCTAACTATCAACACTCATCAAAGGTTATTTCAATACATTCGCCTACCATACTGCATCACGACCATACGTGTCATCTCTCAGCCAATAATAAATATAATGTAGACAGGTATACCTGGAGCAGCAGCCTATCTAGGTGATATCATTGTTATAGTTTCAATTGAGTGAGCTTTCTGATAGGCTACATTATGTTCTTAACCGAGTGATGGGACATGATTTCCAAATACGTGAAGAGGAGTGTATCTTTTCCATGCATTCGATCGAATACCTTGGTTCCATCTTAGATAAGAACGGTCGCCGACCAGACCTTGTCAAAATAGAAGCCATTCATTAAGATCCTTCTTGGGATATATTAGTCATTGCAGCACATTTCTGCCTAAAATGCATTGAGTGAGAGGCCTTCTGAATAAATTACTAACAAGAAAAACCTGGGCAGTGGCCAGTAGAATGTAAAGCATCTTTCAACAAGGTCAAGTCAATGCCTAACTCCAAGCTTCTTTTAAAATACTTTGACCCCAGCTTGGGAGTTGTTGTTGGATCTGATGCCATTAAGTTGAAGCAATGATATCTCACGTGTTTCCGAACAAATTAGAAACAACTGCTCATACTACTAGATCACTCACCCCAGTCGAGCGGAACTACAGCCAGATGAGAAAGAAGCTCTTGCACGCATTTTCACCGTTAAGAGATTCCATAAAATGCTCTATGGACCTACGTCTACTATACAGACAAACCATAAATGTTTGATTGCAATTTTTGGTTCTAAGAAAGAAATCCCTGTCTATACAGCCAACAGATTACAATATTGAGCGACAATGCTTATGAGCTATGACTTTAATATCATATATCAGTCAACAAATACAGTCAAGCTGACGTTGCCCCTCGATTGATTAGAGTTCAACACACTAGACTGCAAGACAAGATCGTTGCTTTCATAGCTGTAGATTCAGAGACAAGGTGTGTGGGAGCAGATGCTATTCGGAACACTCCAGTGCCATAAGATGAATTATGGGAAGGAACTCTTCGAGACCCATCCCTATGAAAAATTAAAAATCCCCATACAGAGAGGTGAACCTCGAAAATCAGCTCCTTAAATCTTAGTAGTTTACCAGAGCAGACAATTTCTTCCGATTATCGATTACTGCCTTTTATTAGCCAAATCTGTAATAATCCAAAAAACTACATCTAGCAGTGTTTGAATAATCCTATGCGGGATATCCTGGAATAAGTCGCATGAAAGTGGCAGCATGAAGTATGTTTACTGACCTACGTAGACATACAACTGGAGCAGCTATCCCGTTCATATAAAAAACGGAGACTACCAACGAGAGCACAACCGAAAACAGCTGCAATCACGTTCAATACCAGTAACCGTGGCAGTGTATGCATATGAACTTCGCTGATCCACGTCATGGACAAATTTACTTTCTCGTTGTTGACACATATAGCAAGTGGGCAGAAATTGTTCTCAGGGAACATAGAACTGCAGGCTGAACAGTTAGAAAACTACATCGACTATTCAGTCGTTTCGGGGTTCCGAAGTTAATAGTTAGCGACAACCGAACACAGTTTACGTCTTCAATTTTCTCAGAATTTCGTCGGCAGAATGAATTTATTCATGTCCAAACACCTCCACTTCACCATCAATCCAATGGTCAAGTAGAACACATTGTTGGTACATTTAGAAATGCTCTTCAGAAATCAAGAAGGGAGGGGACCACCGACCGTTAATCTTATTGCTCAGTGTTCTTCAGACATTTTATTTTACTCGCCTTAATTATGTCTCTTACCCCTCCCCCCATGAAGGAGCATAGGCCGCCCACTAGCATTTTCCATCCAACTGTCCTAGACAATCCTTTCCAGTTCCTATTCATCCTTTTCATGTCTGCTTCCAATTCCCAACGTAGTGTGTTCTACTGCCTTCCTCATTTCCGTATCCTTTTAGGATACTAGGTAAGCGCTTGAATCGTGATGCAATTTAGTGATTTCTGTAATATATGTCCTATCCACTTCCAAAGTGTTTTCTTAATTTCCTCATCAGATGGAAGTTGGTTTGTTCTCTCCCATAGCAGACGGTTGCTGTTGGCTTCTCGCCAACAGATATTCAGTATCTTGTGTAGATAACTGTTTATAAATACTTGTATCTTTTTGATCATGGTTGTAGTTCTCCAAGTTTCAGCTCCGTACAGTAGAACTGTCTTGACGTTCGTATTGAAGATTCTCATTTGGATATGTATTTAGTTTTTTTGCGTCCTATATGTTCTTCAATTGTAGGAATGCTGTCTTTGTTTTGCCAATCCTTGCATTTACGTCTGCATCAGATCCTTCTTGTACATCGACGATGCTTCCCAGTTACGAGAAAGACTCCACATCTCCCAGAGTTTCTCCATCAAGTGCGATCGGGTTGGTGTTCTCCGCGTTGTATTTGAAGATCTTGCTTTTTCCTTTATGTGCGTTGAGGCCTAGTGCTACAGAGGCTGCCGCTAAACTGTTTGTCTTGACCTGCATTTGTTGTTATGTATGAGATAGGTCTAGGTCATCTGAGAAGTCCAAAATGTTTAATTGCATCCAACCTATGCATTTTATTCCGTGCTTCCTGTCAGATATTGAGGTCCTCATAATCCAGTCAACCACCAGAAGAAAGAGAAAGGGGGAGAGTAAACAGCTTTGATTAACTCCAGTCCTTACTTGGAATGCATTTATTGGCTGTCATCTATGCACCTCTTTGCACTGTAGTCCGTTGTATGCATTTCGCTGGATGTTGACGATCGTCTCAGGCACACCATACTTTCGAAGAAGGTTCCATAAGGTCCTCCTATCCCCACTGTCAAACTCCTCATAGTTAATGACGTTGATGTATAGTGACGAGTTTCACTCAACTGATTGTTCGGCGATCGATAGCGTCACTATTTGGTCTGTGCACGACCGATGCTTACGGAATCCGACCTGTTGATCTCGACGTTGGATGTCTAATGAATCTTTCATCCGGTTCAGCAACACTGTTGAAAACTTTTTCTGGTACTGATAATCGTGTGGTTCTTCTGTACTTCTCACATTTGATCAGATTTTTCTTTTGTAACTTGATGAAATTTGCTTCGTAGTCAGTCAGTCAGTTACGACGTAAAACCAGGAACATATATGCATCAGTCCTAGTTGTCACACCTCATAAGAGAAATTATAACTATCCAAGCAATCCACCCTGAAGTATAAAGATATACAGATCTGACCTATAAAGATAAACATGACTACTCTTGTTTACTGTCGATTCTAACAGATAGGGAAATTCTAACAGCCTATTATTAGTCAACAAGACGAAAATTAACAGATGGAGAATTTTGAAGGGATGAAACGCCTATGTTTAACTTCACTGTTGGCAAACTGAGTGGATAGGCTGTATAAAGATCCCAGTGAACCAGAGCTTTCTGAAAATGAATAACTTCATTCTAGTCAAAACGCTATAACCTTATTTAGTGTACTATCACAGACAAAAAGCTCTTTTTGGATTTATATTTCCGATAGAAAATTTGTAGATCTGTTTATGATTAGTTTTCGAAATTAGTCAAGTCACTAATATCCCCACAAAACTGAACATTTAGTGAATTTCGGAAAGTAACATAGTTAACATACACAAGCAAGCGGTTAGTTATTCTATCTGTGATAGATAAACAAATTCGGTTAGCCTAGATAAAAATGAACTCGAGACAAGTATAGCTGTGTTTAAACAATATTGTATGAACTTGACAGTTTATTGAATTCATAAAATCTTCAGTTATGTGCCCCACGAATTATGTAAACATTAATTTTACTGCATCAGTGTAGAAACCTTCATAAAGAGAACAGAGTTGGACTATATGAAATAATAGTTGGAAATTGGATGGGATAATCATGAAACTAGAACTTCGCAACAATGTAAGACAGGAGGAAAAGTCCAATGAGCTTATATTCAGCTTCTCAACATATAACATCACTGATTACAATGTTAGCACACTTAATACATGTGAATCACACTGCAGAATAGTGAATAGTTAAAAGCAACACTTAAACATGTTAATAATACAACATTAATCTTTATAACGTAAACATGTTATCTAAAAACAGGCTTTCCTAAAAATGATTCTCTCCGCAATATATTAATTATTTCAAGCATAAATTAAAGTGAAGGAATGAGCATTCATTGTTCATCAAAAAGACCAATGAACAATGAAGATATAAGTTTCGACTAAGAATAACAAATAAGACTTTATTAGTCGACCATAAATTGTAATCACAAATTTACCTAAAGAGCACTAAAAGTTGAAAACGAGATTTAAAATTATTGTACTTACTTGTCCACGACACATAGGACAGGATATAACACGTGAATATATTGTCCGTTTCCAATGAAGAATAAAACACTCAGCTAAAAATTATAAATCATATATATCGGTAAAAACGACATAAATTGATGACAAAACAGGTTATTCCAAATGCCAAGCATAATGAAATTTTTATTCCAATACAATGGATTAATTAGATGGAAAAACTAACTATTGAGCTACGTTATACTATCTATATATTTCCTTCCATATCTCTGGACTTACAATTATTTCAAACTTGTTAGCTATCATATGGAAATATACACCACGAGTGTTCGTTATAACCGGGTTAAAATGTTTACTTTGATATGACTATAATTGATACTACCCGAAAAAGTTTATCAAAGTATAATACATGAAACACACTACTTTGTGGGTTTGAATAGGTGTTCAAACTTGAGTGTCTTCTCAGTAGACGCAGCTTGTCCAATCGGGGGGTTAAGTGCAACGCTATAATCCAGACAGCTGAGAGTCGAACTTTGTGTTTGTTTCCAATCATAGGGTGAGATACTAACCAAAATTTAGTTGATTCTAACCTAACAAGAGAAACATATATTTTCGTTACTCACCATTGTTGAAAGATGAAGACCAAACTCCATTTATACATTAATCTGATCAGATGTGCTTTACCGAAGGTAATAGACAAGACTGAGGCGTTACTCAGTGATCCACCTGAGAACAAGGAGATCAGGAAGTTGTACTGTGGTTTGTTGTGGAATATCATGGTAATTACACTGGAACTAAATGTCAACAGTTTATAATTCTCCAGTGAAACTATTCATTACTGCTGGCTCTTGTTGTCCTAGAACACTAAATATATCTATTAACCAGAGTTATGTATCATGAAACCTGCGTTTAATGAGCAATATTTATGGTTTGATGGCGAGAATATAATTTATGGACGAGCCAATCAGAAGTGTTTAAAGGATTTCAATATCATAGCGCCAATTTCAGTGCCTAATGCTAACGTGCGATGGGTTCGTAGAGGATTTTAGAGAAAACGTGATAATTGGGCGGTTACAGCAAATGGGACAACTAAGAAACTGCTTTATTTGTGATTGTGATAATCAAATGATTTGTGGACCTTGTGCAGACTACCGTGATGTTGTCTTTCGATGTAATATTTGTTGGAGGAAGAAGTCTGCTAGAATAGGATTTTTCTGCTCGATCCAGATTGAAACTAAGGCAAATTATGATAATTGTTAAGAATTGAATAATAAAAGCACCAGTAACACTGGCTGCAGCCAGTATATACGGATGATTTGAGAGAGTACAGATGCTTACATAGACTTTGTTATGTGAATCGTGTCGTTATCTACAAGTGGTAACTTATGGACCCAATAGCCGGAGTGCAAACAAACAATATTGAAGCTATGTGGTCGAGGTTGAAAGTTTTTGAGATCTTATCATGGCTCCAGAGGCTGGCTATTATGCAGCCATATGGATGATTTTCTCTACCGTATGCATTGAGATTTTAGAACCTCTGAACCGCTTTCTAACCTTGATGAGTTTTTGAACCATATAAAAGAAGTGTATCCACTTTAACTCCTTGCTTTTATATATAATTTTACTCTATATCAACTGTTTTATGATATTCCTAAAGGACACTTAAGATTCGCTCAAAGGTCGTCCATAAATTATAGTATCGCCGAGACGCGTATATTTCTGGTGCCTCCTTGTACCAATGTTTGTGTTTAGATAAATAATAAATAAATGGTTTGGTATATTTGAGAGACCTTATCTTACCATTCACTTCCCCAGTATAAAAAGTAGTGATAAAGAATTATAGCTTAACTTACACAAAATGTATTTTTGGACTACAAATGCTTTAACAATGTGGTATAGTTATATGGTTGTACGAACGGAATGAAAAGATCAAGCACGTCATATCGAAAAGTGGCAATTTCCGCCGTTTTTAAACTGGGACTTGACAAGACAAACCGCAAGATGTGTATATTTGAGTAAAAACATCTTGACGACTATACTTAGGTTTAAAGTATGGGTGGACAGATGATCTTAGTTACCACTATGACTTTGGTAGGCCTAACCCCATGAACGAGCACTCTACACAGTTGTCCATGGTATAGAAATAGTTTGTCGATATGAAGTTGTCTTGTCTGTAAACTAAGCTTCTGTAGACAATAGGTTGACAACAAATGGTCGACAGGTCAGTTTACTTACTAACTCTTGATGGTAGTGAACCTATTAGCTGCTACAGGAAACTCGGATTACAAAAGCGACTCTGTAAAAAACGTCGAGCTGATAGTTTCTCAGTGACTATAATCTACGAAATGAACAATTATATTTGAATTAGTATATTTTGGGTTTTCGACAAGAACGTATTCGTCCACACAGTTAAGTATACTTAACTGTGTGCTATAGCATTGAAGCAATATGACTGACGTCAGTCCGTGAACGAATCACACACTAATTCTTCACACTAATTTATGACCCTATTCCGATCTAAGTAAATGGCTAGAGTTTCTCAAGGGAAATCTGTTACGTTTAAAACATCGTCCAAAAACAACGGGTGAGAATCAAGACGAGAAGTCATATACAAAAATGAATTGTAAAGAAACTAAGGTTTGAACCGAAGCCTTACCACAAAATCGATGACCACAGTTCGTCTCAATCATGAGTGAAGGGAATTCCATACATATCGGGCAATCATAATCGGAATTGCTCACACTTCCAATTCTCGTCGAAGACCGGGTACTTTGTCTAGGACGTGAGGATGATCGAAAATATCCCCTACGGTCGCATAATTAATCCAACGATTATTAAGACGTGCATACCAAACGAATCCAACGGCAACCAAAAACAGAACAATAGCGGGGAGTGACATGAAAACGACGACATGGTCATCTATTGCTTCGAGGAGAGAACCCATTTAACAACGCTAGTGCATCCACGACTGGAAACAAATTCAACTCCGGTTCGTAATTTCGGCAGTCAACTTAGCGACCAATCAGAATGAAGCGGGGAATGTTATCTCCGATATCTTCACAGGCAGTGAATAATCCAAGGTCACGAAAGCCCTTAACCAGCGCCGTCTTGCAGTCAATGCCTAATATCTCCATGTGAGTCAAAAAAAAACAAATATATGCTTTACGCCAGTTTATCCAAGTAAGAATGCCTTTCCATGACTTTGACATAGTTCAATGTACACAATCTAGCTACTCAGTTGCAAAAATCCTGCTGAACTTGATAGTTATTCGAAGGTGAATTTCCCTTCAGTTTGAACGATTTCAGTGAGACTATAATTACATAGGCCTGTATCTATTCTTTCACAATTTGTGACCCATATCGTAAAAAGTTTGACGACAAGCTGTCCAGAGGGACCAAAAAGATATGACACATTAACTTACAATTAACTGTTTGAGATATGGGACCCCATGTAATCCCATCTCGCGTTCTACTACGAGGAGAAAAAATTTAATTTTGAAAATCCCCTCGTTAATCTTGTGCTCACAAGCTAAACACACTGATAAATGTCAACATTCTTGAGTAATCTAGCATAGATAAAATATTAAGTCAAGTATTTGTCTTCTTTAAAGAGTTTGAAAATTCTAACAAGCGAACTTCATACTCCGGAGAATCAAGCTGCTGCTGAACTGCAATGTGAAGCCATATTAAAGTCATGGCTAACAATGTCTATCAGGTCGCTTTTCATGAGCTTGTGAGGGTAGTGCTCTGTCGGTGAAATACTACTAAACATTATTATTTCCAATGTACATTATTGTACCTAAAGTAAAACATATAGCCAAACCCCAACACTAAGGCCGTTTGACTTATTCATAACAGTCAGACTACAGATCATAACAATCAGCACTAAACCTTATTACTCTCTAGACTTTCTGAACGTTGCAATAGGTCCCAATTACTTAAGCCGTATCGGTATTTCACTGTCATAGAGAGGTAACAGATGTCAGATCTTTTGATACGTGCTTAGAAGAAAATACGGAGTGTCGTTAAAAACACTAATTCCGCTCAGTTCTCCCAAGACTGAGTGACTTTGAAAACAACTGAAATACACCGTCTTTTCTAATAGCTCAGATATAGCTAGATATGATGACAATGAGTTTATAGTATTGTGGTACTATTATAATAATGTACGTAATCCTAAAATTTCCAATATGTCATGTTGTGACTGCCCAATCTACAAGGTCTCACATATAGGTCACACCTTTGTCTATTTTGACTTGTCGTATCGTAAAAATCCGCGAGATAACGTTTGGCGTTTGTAAAGAACACATTTACGCTAAAAACAGAATGAATCATTTAATGTGAGTAAAGACAAGATATACAAAACGATCACGTCTGCGAGGCCGAGCCATTCCATCCGACTGAATTAATTAATTCTTCTCGCTCTCTCCATCGTTGACCTTTTCTTTGTGCTAATTGTTGAACATGCATTTTCCCAGTTACCTCATATTCAACTTTCAGGATTTTATGGTTAGGAACAATTCCACAAGTTGTCCGACCACAGTACATAGACACTGGATAGCAAAACGTCTACAAATTTAAGTCTTAAAATAGACATTTTTATACGTCGTTCGCGACTCAAGAGGCAGGTAAGTAAACGCCTGACAGTCGGACAGAACACGGGAAAACGGCACCTCATCAACATGATGTTGGGTATCCTGCTTGATGCACTTCCTCAAATATTGTCACTAGTGGGCATGCGTCTTCAGTGAAAATTGAAGATCCTGATAAAACATTCACTGTTCCGAATATTCTAGGTTATGCTGTCCTGAGTGATGAAAAATGGATTGAAGAACCGAGAAAAAGAAGTGAAAGTAAAAAGCCTATCAGATGTTCTCTTTTTGTTGGCGAACCATTGGGGAACCCCCATTATAATTCTTAACACACACTACCAAAGCCTAGTAGAAGTATGGCATTCCACCTTGGTGTGGCTAAGAAGAACTTTATCTCATCGAATTTATTCGTACTTTGCTGTTGTCAAATGATCCTGATCCCCAAATTAGACACGCGCATGATTTGGAGAAACTTGGAGAATATATCCGTAGCATCTTATCAGATAACTCTAAAGGAGTTCAGATCAAAAATTGATAAGAACAGGTAAGAGGAACGACGACAGTTCTGAACTCTAACCACATGGACTCCTTAAGATAATCCTAGGGTAGGAGAAGCAACGTGATCTTCTGTTAAGTAGTGCTTGTATTCACGACAATACCGACATCCGAGTAAGACATGATATATCTCTTGAAAATATAATAAAAAGGAGGACGGCACTAGCTGAACTAAAAACCCGTCGACAAAACGATGAGGAAAGTCTCCGATTGATGGATTTTGATTAGTCAGGTCCTGAAAGCGAATGCTACCAAGGCTTGTGTTGATAAGCCTATCTCACTTGGAGATTTATATGCCGATGCCCGTAGTTTAAGAAACAAATTCTGTGAACTAGAAGCAGTAGTGGACAAATTAAGGCCATTCATACTGTCTGTGACGGAAAGTCGGTTAGTCCATGACTCCTAAATTACCCCAGAATAATCCGGACACCATGATCTTTAAGTGATGGACATAGATGTAGGAAAGGAGGTGGCGTCCTTTTATACATATCCAGTAATACAAATATCCACTTCTTTTCTTGAGAGTTTCATGATCGGGGAACTTGTGAAGTCCCTGTAGTCATTGAGAAGGATACTATCTTAAGACTTTCAGCATCTCAACGCTAATAAGTCTAGTGGTCCTGATGATATTCATCCTAGGATAGTGAAAGCTCTATCTTATATAATTGCTGAACATATAGCCATCCTGTCTGGTACGTTTATGTGGCAGTCCAGACTGCTGAGGGACTGGTAGGACGCAATAACTAATCCGGTGTATAAGGCGGAGAGTATAGACATAGTTAGTAACTATCGACCCGTTAGGCCAACCAGTGCAGTTGCAAAACTAATGGGAAGATTATTGGAATGTCTTCATCACTATGGAAAAAAAATGTTATTCATTATGCATCCGAATCCTCAGTGTTAGGTGATATGTTTGATGTTGAGATCTAGACTACATTTTGATTATATCGATTTGAAGTGCGGAAGACTTAGGCGACTGACAAAGACGTATTTACATGCATTCTTAATGCAGCTGAAATGACTGAGATCTCAATCAAGAGTCAAGATTCTCTAATTCGTTATCCAGTTTATGTAAGCAACCAGGATTTTGAGGTCATTTACTTTGTTCGGTGGCATAGATGTCAAAAGGATGGAAGCTTCTTGACGTAAAGGTACTTTGAATCTTGTAGATTGATCGAAGTGATTGTTTCTTGCTTTTATCACATGGAAAAAGTGTAATATTTAACTTGTCCTACAGACATAATACTAGAACCGCAAAAGCGATACTGGCGAACTCAGAATCTGTTTGAAAGCTATAGTCAGAACAAGGACAACTTGGCTTTAACTTTATCTGTTCCTAGACGTAAACACAATTAGATTTGTGCAATAATTAATGGAATTACAGTCGTTAGGTGAAACACACAAACATACTGGCATGTACTGCGTTCCTTATCGAAATGAATAAAAATTATGAGTCAAACAAATATAATAGAATGATAATGTCTTCCAATTGGCAGGACACATGAAACAGGAATAGCCTACAAAAACGTAAGACCAGAAATACATAGTGGGCGCCTAAACAACGATTCGATTGGTTAGTTATTGGCATAACTTGCACGCGTAGAACTGTGGCACGCTAAAAATTAAGTTAAGCCGTAGATCTACCTTCCATCTTGATAAAATTTGAGGTGTAGAACTTTGGTGCCGTTAGTTACCTTTGTCTTATTATATCAGAAAGGTCTGACCAGCGGTTTCAATAGATTTTCATTCCAATCGTGGAACTTTAACAAACACCTTCCAACATTCAATACGAGATAATAGGAAATGTAATGCTTGCGTGAAATAAGGTAGTAACAAAATATTTAATCTTTAATATTTCAATACCGCTAACTGGTCATCAGCTAACTCTCAACTACTTAACTTATGCTGTTACATCAGCCTTTCTGAAGACTCATCTCCCGTGAGAATATTGCTTGAGCCAATTTAATAAATAAATTTACGTCAGATCGTCCGCAGTACCCCTGTGATGAACCAAAACTTTCCGTTCATCGTTTGGCCTAATTTTTACGATCAGAGACGAAAACACTTGATCGATGTTCGGAACTAGTCTGTGGATGCCATATACTTTGCTAGTTTTTTAGTTCAACTTGATGGCGTTTACCTTCTCATAACTAATAGTGCAGAATATGCCATGCCTTCCCTATGTATGGGGTCAGAGCTAGTAAGTGAATGGAAAGTGATTAAATTAAAGAAAAATATCTAGGAAAGTTATGCAGAGGAGTTACACAACATTTTTCTGATGAGGTAAGGTTTCTTCATGCTCCATCAGGCTATCATATGTTTACCCACCTTCCTCTTGAGACATCATGGAAAAATAGTTGTAAGGGAGTATTATTGTGGTGAAAACAAAAATGAATCTCATTAGCTAACTTTTTTAAGTCAGTGGCATTGAGAAATTTGTATCAGTTTTCTGTAAGATTGACACCTTCAGGACAACTCCTTAATAATTTGCACATACTTTTATTATGAAAGAGTAAGAAAAATGTGTCAATACGTTCACGATCAGTGTTCTTTAAATATGAACCTCACTTTCGAATCAGGTAAAGATCGAACTCTCTGATAACGTTTTTATAACGGACTCATTTTTTCTGGTAATGAATTTGTTCAGTAAATGTCATTTATAATACTAGTTACATATTTGAATGACTAGGTCGATCAAATGTTAATAATAGTGTCATGTCTATGTATCATAGGAAAGTGCCTAAAATGTGAAACGACGTTTGAAAAGCTTATATTTAGTCATTTTGATTGTCTTAACTTAATTCATGGCTGTTGTATATTGACAGGTACTACCGGTCGTTATGACTTTGTGCGGTGTGGTTGTGACCTTTCTTCAGATGATAGTCCTGATGAGATTCTGTGACTAGTTGGTGGATATAACTTGTCTAGCTTGTATCCTGCTGCTGTAGCGAATTTCAAACTTAATATAAATAATCTTCGTATGAGTGTAGGCACGACCGTTCAAATTGCTCAAGGTTTTGTGCGCTGTCTAGTTTTCTTTATTAAGATTCTTGGTAGTGATTAGCGAGGTATAAGCATCTTTACTCATGCTCCTTAGGCCCAACTGTCATAATTTTTGTATTATTCTAAGGCAACAGTCACCTCCAAGTTTCGGTGACAACTTATTTATAAGCTTCCGAGAAATTATAATAGATTTCATTTTTCATCTTTTTGAGGTCGAAATCTATAACAGGTTTTATAGGCTATATACACTCATCGGAGATAAGGTTGAAAATATCGGCTACAGGAGGTGTAACTGAAAATGCTCAAAACGTTTAACTGCTGCTACTTTTTTTCTGTTTGGTATAATTTTCAGCCCATGCATGTGTTTTCTTAGTATCCTAATGGAAACCTCAATATTCATGTAGCGTGAGTGTTTATGTTCAGCTTACATGACTCACTCTGGTGCGCACTTATGGTGGTAGCTAATTAAATACCAGGGTCGTCCATACTAATTTGCATTTTAAACCACTTTTATTCCTAATGTAGGATTTTCCATGTTGTTAATGAGTGATTTCTAATCAATATCCTGCTTACTAATGATTGTTTTTAGGCTATTATTGATATTAGTTGTCGAATCCTTTTTTAGTCTTCAACTGAAAAATCGGGAACAACAATTCTAACAGCGTTTCAATTAGTTGGAATCGCATTCTTTAATTCTTTGGAATGACAAAAGTTTAAGACGAAATGAAGTTAGTTGGGAATGCGTTGCACATTGTTGGCTGACATGATTTAACGTTATTTGGTACATCAACCACTGAATGTAGAAATTAGAACACCAGTTATATATATTTTCTCCTGTTTAACAAGTCCTTTTAACCGTGTGTGACTCCAATGACTTTACGTTTTCATTAAAACTATTTGTATGAAAGCGTTCAGTCTACTTTGTTAGTTCGGAGCCACAGAATATTACTGTTTTGGTTGGATCACTTGCAAGTTTCAGGTAAAATCCGTAACCGTTTTTAAAGGATTTTTGGTTTGCAGCAATACAACTTTTAACACAAAAGAGCAGAAAATCTGACCATTAGTTACTTATATTTATTAGCTCTATCCGTTTTGGCGAAACTATGGTTTAGAGACGACTTTTGAGCGATGCTCATGTGACCTTGAGTGTCTCCACCTAATAACTAGGGCCAAATGAAGGTTATGAACCTGTGTGAGGACTTCTAATTCTTCTTTACAGTTGACGTTCAAGGTTAGGAATAATATTTGGGGTTTTATCACTAAACGACATAAACTATAATGCCAAAACTCTATCTTGCCAATTCGATGAATAAATTTCATGCCAAAATTTGAGACCTGTTATCTTATACCTGATTAGATCGTCCATAAATTATAATTTCGCCTCGTATATGTGCTGTGGCTTTAAGGAAAAATAATTATCTCATATTGTTTTCGTATTATTTAAACTAATGCTAAACGTTATTTTTTGTTTAATTCAGGTGATATTCTTAGACTTCACAGATGGCTTATGAGATCTCTGTTCCTGATGCGTATAGGTATAGAACGATTTTCGATCAACTTCAACCAACCTATGGGAAATTATCTGGGGAAAAAATTAGAGAGGTTTGTGGAATTTTGTTTGCTGACTACCATTAGTTTAGAAGAATGTAGTTCTATCGAGCGAAATTTCTTAGCCTAGTGAAATTGTTGTTTATTATATTGATTACAGTTCTAAGGAAGCTGTAATTGTATTCAAATATTCAAACGGTGAGAAACTACCATCTATTGAATTGGTTGGAACATCTACAGTGCTTTAAGAATAGCTATTCTGTTATTTTTGGACGTAATCCTTTTTTCTCTGAACGATACTGACTCTATTTCTTTGCATTTATCTGCGTGAATTCATTTTTAAATTAAAGTGGCAAATACTCCGGCACCTGTGGACTCACTCACGATGTCGAAGACAGGAGTTTGAACACCATTCATATAATTTAGTTTCAGTCACTAGCTATCATCCCCAGCTGTTGCGTAACGGATTTAAATCATAGTCTGGTACATGAATTAGTACTTCTTGTGGAACTGCTAGTTTGTTCCACATTTCATTTATAATCAAGTATCAATTATCAGTGATATCCACTTAAAACATTTACGCATCATCTTGAAAATACAATGGTTTGCTCAAGTCGGTCTGTACTCAAAGATTTAAAACTTCTTTCGCAGTTGCAAGAATCGCTGTTATTGTATCTAATACTTCCACAAGACATCGAACTTCTTTAGTTTCAGTAATTTCCTTTCAAATGGGCATTAGTCCATCAACGATTAGGTAGTATAGTTAAACTAGTTAATTCAGTCTCCATAGGTTCATTACCTAAAAAGGAATACTAAACTTTCGTAAAAGTAGAGTGTGTGTGGATAGTGTGCATATTTCTTATCCTAGTGCCATAAACTTTTAACGTTTAAAGTTTTATGATATTAAAAATCCATTCTAAACTAAAGTTACTTAATTATTTGGCTATTCTAAATTAAACAGATGTTTCTGAACTACAACTGGCTACAATCAATGAAATAACGATAGTGATTAACTGAGACCAGTTGATATGTTTTTATGCTGTTTCATTTATACACCGTCGAATACACAAAAGAATAAACTTATTGAGACCCGTGACTAAACTTTTTGTCATCAATATGCCATATATAGTTCCTGATTTGACCGTTCGTTTTTTCCCAGGTATTTTTAAAGTTTCAGTTACCAGTTGAAACTCTTGGAAAAATATGGGACCTTTCAGATATTGATAATGATGGTAGTCTAGATCAGAGCGAGTTCATTATTGTAAGTTCAAAGTGATATCTGCCTATAATCGTTTTACTAAATTTCAGTATAATTTTAATGCTGAGTGGTTATTTTATGATTCTCGTCAAAATTCCACTGATTATTATTAGTTAGTGCCACTATGTCTAATATTTTTTTACGGTAGAGAAGTGTGTAATAACACTTATAGGTCTTAGTTCTCATCAAATAACCCTACTGGTTGGTTACTTATTGTCATCAGTTTTATCGCCCCGGTGTGTTTTACTCGTGCCATTACTTATTTCAGTGGGTTCGTCTTCCCCAGCATAGGATTGTTTGAAAGGATCCCGGGAGCCCTTAAAGCAACATATGGTTTCCGCTTATGAAGTCACTTGTTTGGTGCAAGCCTTCTCAGAAAGCTGAGACTTCCTGATATGTGTTACATAGTTATATACTCTTAATTTTCCTCCAATCATTTAACACAGCATTTGCTGCAAAGTTGACCGATTTAATTCGCATCAGTAGAATTAATTTTTTTAGTCAGACAATTGTGTATTAAATACTTGTCAGGTTGTTTAAATAACATCTAGATAAAAGTATGTGAACCTAATCATTAACCATCCAGTCATAAACAATGTAAGAACCTGATATAAATGAATATCGGCTTAAGTTGACGCATAAGTAGCTAATCTTATTGTCTGTGGACGGTAATTAACTGTATTTCATTCTCTTACCTTCACCCTTCTGTGTCAATCAGTTTGTAATTGACTCAAATAAATGCAGTTCTTATTCATATGATATGTTCCAGATCATTTATTATTTGTCAGTTTAAATCTTTATTAATTCAGTTGTCTCTCTGATATTCTACTATATTGTGTATCAATACAGTCTGTGTTGTTCATACCTCAATTCCAGTTATTTAGTTTTAGTCACATAAGTCAATCAGTCGCAACGTAGAACCTAGAAAGTATATACATTGGTTCAAGTTCCTATATCCCATCAGCACAGCGAGATGAAATTATCAGGCCAAATCCCGGAATAACGTAGGTAGTAACAGTATCAATGGTAATAGAAAAGATTATGCATAGAAGATACGGTTCGAGAAAATATAAATTAGTGAATTGAAAAAGATTATAAGGCATTCTGAAGCTTAGAATCTGGGGGAAGACTAAGAATTTATGCACCTGTATCATTACAAATGATTTTGAGCCATATCATTCTAAGTCTCTAACCACTGGTTACGAAAATCACGTGGGCCTCAACCAGGTATTCTATACATGTTAACACGAATCAGTCCAATTCTCAGTGACTTCATGGAGTGATGCGATGTTTTGGTTTGACTGTTCCTCGGATTCTTTCAGCTCACTCTTACATCAAACAACATCACCCGTCCAGGTAGGCAGTAGCTGGGTATATGTAACACATGTCCCAACCACCTCAGTTGATGCGCATTCGTTACCCCACCAACCAAATCAACATTTTCAATTTGTACTCTATGTCTAACCCTGGCATTGTTTATTTTATGATCTCAAAACACGAACAGTGCTTCGAAGACAAATATGGTTGAATACTAGTAATTTGCGAATATTCTCTATCCTTAATGGGCATGCTTCACATCCATAAAATGAAACGGGGCGAACTGGTGCACAGTAAACTCGTCTTTTGTTGGTAGATGGATATCTCTCCTACGCCACAAGTGAAGCAAGTTGACAAATGCCGATCGAACTTTCTGAGTCTGTGTTGAAATTTCTTTAGATACCAGAGCACCAGGACTAATGAGGCTTCTAAGATAAGTGAAGTGGTCGGTACGTCCAACTACTTCACTCCCTATCATTGATTCAGGCGCCGACACAGGCCGATTCCGAAGCAATATTTTTCATTTGGAGTGAGAGAATCGCATTCCAAACATACTTGCATTGTTGCTTAACGCGGCCTTCACTGAATAGCAGTATATCATCTACATATTCTAAGTCAACAAGTGAATCTCCTTGTGGAAGATGAAAGTGTTATTTCTAGAAGTCTCTGTTTGACAGAGTTAAAGATGAGGAAATCGGACAACTCTGGGGAACGCCATTTGAAATAATCAATTTTGGTAACAGTTCTCCATAAGCTTGAAATATTCATGTCAAAATACACTTGTGTGGGTTACTTTTATTTATATAAGTAGTATATAACGGTGGTCTGGCATAGAATGTATTTCAGCAGATCGATGAGGAAAGAACGGGAACGGAATGCAATTGGTATGAAAACGGATGAACAATCAAATCTGAGACAATGGATTGATGTTTACGACACGAACGGTCAAGTTTGAGGTGTTGGATTGATATTTTGCAGATTAACGATTTATTATATGGTTCTCAGATTTTCTTGAGATGCTCTGTAATTTTGTGCTCAAATACATTCGATTGTGTCACTCGTATTCTTGTTCACTACACACTGAGTATCGAAACGAGTTCAAATTTCTATCAGGTTGTCAGGACACAGAAACCTTACTCCATACATCCTAAGTTTTTATACACTATTATTTCTGTTCATTTGTGTTTAGGATAATACAGCTTTTTTTAATTCTATAAATATTTAGAAGGATTTTGATTGTAGGCTATGCATTTGGTCCATCGATCACTGGAAGGTAAAATATTACCGGACAAATTGCCAAAGAATTTAGTTCCTCCTGACAAAGAACATTATTTTTCAAACTCTACGTCTATTAATAATTCCATGTTGTGTTTACCGCCTATTACTAGTGATGCTGATTTTAATTTGGCACTAGTCCCTGTGCAGTCTACATCAGATTTAAATCCAAGGCAGAGTACTGGATATTTATCGGCGCTTGTATCCGTGAGTAAAAAAATATTTCAGTCTTTATTATTGATCCAGCTTAATGGTTTCATCATAAATATTAGTTGATCCTTTTTGGATTTTACTCATTTAAATGTCTCTGATTTTACTAGCATAAGGCAAACTGATCTTGTAGTACTTTAAAACGTCGCTTTAATAATTCCGTACGTAAAATAGTGCAGTAAATGCAGTTCACATTTCTACAAATTGCCTAGACTATTGTCTGATTTAGCTGTTGTATTCTTTTACTGTCTAGTGTTTCCTGACCACGATGGTTTCCTTAACTCCTTCCAAATCAACACCATGTGAGAAGATACGATGCAAATTCCAATAAACATGAACAGCAAACATACAGTATTAGAAACTTTAGACTATATTATATAATTCACGTAAGAATATACCATCGCGATTCAACCACTAGTACTAATTGGTTCAGAATGGATCAGTCAGTGTATTTCGATTTGAGTCTGGTCAGTACCTGTAATAGTCAGGACGCTGTCATGCTAACAGTGATGACGTCAAACTGCTTAAACTCAAAGAAATTCGTCATTTTTATGTTAGTGGCTGTTAGAAAAAGGTTCTAGTGACAAGTTCGAAATCTGAATGAAATTGAGTGATTAGTTTATTTGATATATGAGTTGTTTAGTTTATCGGACAATCGGACAATCTAATTTCATTCACGGTGGTTTATTTTTTCCAAACTGTTGTTAATAGTGTTTATGTCGAACACAGTGTTTGGGCGCCTCGAGTCTTACTTCTAACCTGTCAACGAGAACTGTTTCCTTGAGTCTATATCGTGGTTAGATTAGGATGATCGAAGAAAATTTAGCTCACATCTGACATTCAGTTTATCTAATGCTGAGAAATCGATTTCTCCGTATTTTTACTTGACATTTGAAGAATAAACAGAGTTAAGACTATCAGTTACTTCTCGATAAACAATAAACTAATCATCGTAAAGTACCAGAGTGGATATGTAACTATTTATCTCCTTATTCACAAAATAATTGTTGGAACTAAGTACTGGTCTTTATTTTGACCAGTGGTCTATTAAATAGTCTTTTAATTTTAGAAGTTGGGAACAATTGCAATCGTTTGAAACCCAATTGCTTAAAGGAACCGCTAGTCTGCAATTAGATTCCTAAAGTTGGATGTTTGTTATTAATTAAGTTGTGTCGATCAGTTACTGAGATTGTATACTTAGTGTTTATTTTATTTAATCATTTGAACACATAGATATTGGTACAAAGGGGCACCGAACACATATGCGCCACACAAGTCACTTGATTTGTGTATGGGTTATGATACTGCTCGGGTGCTCAGATCGAAGCAGGTGGTTTTCTTAGGGAGCCACACCCAGAGCCTTCGACTTACAGGTATGATCCACAAGGCAATGGAGCAACGTAAATAGATGCACTCCCATGGTAGTCAGTGACCAACGATCGGTTCATACACCATTTGTTCCTTTAAGATCCTTCAGCCTATATGGAATCAGGGTTTTCCAACCCCTTTAAGTGAACCCTCCTTATCCACCAACCTGGTTAAGGCGCCGACCCGACCGTAGCTGCTACCTTGACGTGGTGGTCGGGCTTGCCTATCGTGATGACCCAACCGAGCTATATTGGCTGGAACACATGTTCCTGCAGGTTCTACCATGCCAGGCAGGTCGATTGGAGAACGGTAAGGCTAAAAGCAGCAACTCAAGGTCTGAGGGCGAAGTCGTACTGCTGACTGTACAGAGGTGTGACAGCAGTAAGGTGTTTCCCTCGGACAACCAGCATCTGCAGCGATGCTGCCTTCTCACAAGGAAGGAAGGGGTTAGAAAAGGTTGACCCTAAAAATGTCACACCTCACCTTACCCCACGGATTTCCGTCTCCGGCGGTAAGGCTATTTGAAGAACGGAGCCAACACATTAAAAACCTCCCACAAAAAGGCCGTGCGCGACCGACCTCAAGCAGTTGTCCCTTGGGCTCTGCGGTCACGCACTCAGGTCGCTAAGACCAACACTAATCCGATTTCCTTTTCAGGTTCCTCAAGAAATACCCTTCCACGTTGTGGGCAACCGGGAAGTGATATCAGCCCTCATACCCGTAACAGCACACGAGACCGAGTTGTTTACATTCAAATCCTTCCTACACCTCCTAATAACTCTCTTATCTCCACGACTAATCTTTCTTACGTCCCTTTATCACTTCGCCACGCTAGTGCGAACGATTCGAGTACGCGGAATGTTATTCCTGGTCTCCCGAAACCACGCTCCAAACTACACGTAGGAGCTTTCAACGTCCGAACACTGTGCCAAATAGGACAACAGGCTTCCTTAGCTAAGACTTTAGAATCTTGCTCCATCGATGTGTGCTGCGTCTCCGAAACGCGCACACAGGATCCTAGTAGTGTCATTCATTTGACCGCGCCATGTCAAAGTAACGAACCAACTCGATTTACGCTTCGTGTATGTAGAAGCCCTGATGCTACTTCCCGTGGCCTCGCTGGCGTAGGTATAGCATTGAGTCCTAGGGCAGAACTAGCTCTCTTAGACTGGATCCCAGTAGACAGTCGTTTTTGCGCTGTCCGACTAAACGGAACAGTAAGGATTCGGAAAGATAAAGACACTCACCGTTGCCTCTTCATCGTTTCTGCCTACTCTCCCACTGACTGCAGCTCAGAGGATGTAAAAGATGAGTTTTACAGAAAGCTCTCCGTTCTTCTCCGAAAAGCTAGGCGTTCAGATGTAGTAATAGTGGCTGGTGACTTTAATGCTCAAGTAGGTAAACTAAGCGAAAGGGAAAGACACCTGGGTGGATCTTATAGTGTCGCAGCTCAAAGAACAGATAACGGCGACCGTCTGTTGCAGCTATACTCAGATAACCGCCTGATTCTTGCAAACGCTAACTTTAAGCATAAGGAAAAACATCTTTTAACATGGAGGCCCCCTAATTCGTCCCAACGTTGGACCCAAATAGATCACATCGCTATCAGCCACCGATGGAGAGGCTCGATGGAAGACTGTCGCTCATTCTGGAGCACATGCTTAGACTCAGATCATGCTCTGGTGCGGGCGTGTGTTTGTCTACGTCTTACTGGACGTAGGAAAGATGGTGCAAAGAAACCCCCTAGGGTCCTACTTAATGATAGTCAAGCTAAGAGTATACTTCAGGAACATCTAGAAAAACAGTTAGACAGCCATGTAAGTGACACCCACCCCGAGGCAGCGTGGAATGACATCCGAAAAGCTGTAGAAACATCAGTGATGTCTGCAAGTACGGTAAACCATGAGGTTAGGGAGAAACACTGGATCTCAGCAGCATCTACCGCACTGATAGATGCTCGTAAACTCATTCCATCTGGCTCTGAACATGAAGAACAGCGGTGTCAGCTTAAGCGTAAGCTGACTAGAAGCCTACGCAAAGATCGTGAACAGTGGTGGGTAGCGAAAGCAAGAGAGATGGAAAAGGCAGCGGCAATAGGTAACAGCAGACAACTGTTCAGACTTGTTAAGGAAACCGGTATTAGGAACCCAACTGTTAACGAAACTATCTCAGAAAAAGATGGACATATTATTCATTCTCAATCCAGGAGATTGGATCAATGGGCAGAACACTTTAGGGATCAGTTCAACTGGCCTTCAGCCACACTTCGGTTTCCCACGATCTCCAGTCTACCTGAATGGCAAGTTAATGTAAGTCCTCCGACTCTCTACGAAGTTGAAAAAGCTATAGGAAATCTGAAGCGTGGGAGAGCAGCAGGCCCTGACAGGTTTACCCCTGAGATTTTTAAGGATGGCGGTCAAGTATTAGCAGTGAGATTGACTGAGGTCTTAGGTAGAATCTGGGAACTGGACGTAATCCCATCTGACTGGTCTCAATCACTGATTGTGCCAGTCTATAAGAAAGGACAAAAGTCCTCCTGTGACATTCACAGAGGAATTAGTTTGACTAATATAGTGTCTAAAATATTAGATTCAATAATACTTCGACGTCTAACCAAAGCTCGTGTAGAGCAGACTAGAGAAAACCGGGCTGGATTTCGACCTGGACGTGGTTGTATAGATCAAATATTCATACTACGTCAGGTCCTAGAACATAGACACACATTCAGACGCCCCACAATAGTAGTATTTCTCGACCTTAAGGCGGCATTTGACTTAGTTGATCGTGAGGTTCTATGGCAGTGTCTGTCACTGAAAGGAGTACCAAAGAAATACATCAACCTTATAAAGGCTCTCTACTCGAACACAACTGGTCGAGTGAGAGCTTATGGTGAACTGTCATCAGAATTGATTACCTCAAGTGGTGTTCGTCAGGGCTGTCCACTCCATTCTTGTTTAACTTTGTCGTTGACGTCCTTTTGGAGATGACACTTTCCTCATCTAAATTTCAAGGAGTTGAGCTTCTACCGGGAGATCCACTTGTTGACTTAGAATATGCCGATGATATATTTCTATTTAGTGAAGACGCTGACAGAATGCAGAGTCTGCTGACCATTCTAAGCAACAATGCAAGCATGTTCGGCATGCGATTTTCTCCCTCGAAATGCAAAATGTTGCCTCAGGATTGGGTTGCGTCGACACCCGAACTAGTGATAGGGAGTGAAGTAGTTGAGCGTGTCGACCGCTTCATTTTTCTTGGAAGTCGTCACATCAGCCCTTGTGGTCTGGTGTGTGATGAAATCTCAGCACGGATACAGAAGGCTCGACTAGGTTTTTCCAACTTGCGTCATTTGTGGCGTAGGCGAGATATCCGTCTAGTAACCAAAGGACGAGTTTACTGCGCAGCAGTTCGTTTCGTCCTACTTTATGGCAGTGAAACATGGCCACTAAGAGTAGAGGATATTCGTAGGTTACTAGTATTTGATCATAGGTGTCTTCGAAACATTGCTCGTATATCCTGGGACCACCGAGTAAGCAACTCAGTTGTTAGAAAACGGGTACTAGGTAAGGATGGCAATTCAATTGATGAAGTAGTGAAACTTCATCAGTTGAGATGGCTGGGACATGTGTTGCGCATGCCAGACCACCGACTGCCACGACGTGCGATGTTTTATGGTGTAGGAATAGGTTGTAAGAAATCTAGGGGCGGCCAGACCAAAACATGTCACAAATCCATGAAGTCACTGACAAGTGGACTGAGCCATGTTGGTAGATGTAGACTACCTGGTTATGGACCGCGAGACGATAGCAACCGATGGTTAGAGACCTTGAATGACATGGCTCAAAATCGTTTGCAATGGCGCAGGTGCATCCACTCTTTGTGTTCTCTCAAACTCTAATCTTCTGAATTCTTGATGTCCTTTATTTTTTTTCCCAATTTATTCCACTGGACTATACTCCTTTAATAACATCATCAAACCTTAATGTCCCCTATCTCTACTTATACTTTCACTACCTCTACCACTATGGGATTTGAATCGATAACTGAATCTCTGTGCTAATGTGGTATGGCAACTCGAACTGATGTACGTACGTACGAAGTTCCACGTTGTTACTGACTGACTTAAGGCGCCGAACATTCACTTTTCTACCTCTCAATTTAGTAAACAAGACTGCCGCTAGAAGTCAGTCTCTAGGAATTGCCTGGTAGTGGCCGTATACGCGTGGATGTGTGAGAGCATACCGAGAGGGAGAGCTGACTCCCCACCCTCGGTCGTACCAGGGAATTCGGGGCTATACTCAGTGTATTTCGTATATGTGCAATATTTATTTTCTGTTAAAGCAAAAATAAACCTGTCTATAAAGGGAAACATGAATATAAATCTGTAAAGTCATTGGTCATCAGTCTGCACCTGCATGGGAGAGGTTTTAAATGATCAGTGGTACGAAATTATCGGCTTCTAGTTAAAATGCTAATCGATAGATGGCAATCAGTGACACTAAGTGTACCGCGTTATAGCTGCTTATAAGAACTGATTATTGGTTTAGGCCCTCGAGCTATTTTTAATCAAAGACAACACCACTGGTCAGACGAGATTTTTTATGTAATAAAATAAAACGCTTTTTTACAGAATATAAAAACAGAAAAAACATAATAAAATATCAAAGGTGATGAAAAGGAATTAGCTCGTAGATCTCATTCTTCAATCAAATAGGACATCAGTTTTAGGCCCGGGCATCGTATCAAAATCATTCAAAAGTTCGAAATAACTTGGCTCTCCGTAGGTATTCTAGTGTTTTATTATTATTATTATTATTATTATTATTATTATTATTATTATTATTATTATTAATGGTTCTATGCATTATAATAGTAGTTTTAATTGTGATAACTTCATCAAGTACACATTTGCTCCCCCACCGATTCATTTATTCAGCGAATCTTTATTCTCATTGTAACGTAATTATACCTGAATTTCTACTCGTTTTGGTATGACTAACTGTTTCAAAACGTACCTAGTCGTTAGGTGTGTTATTACTCTCATAAGTAATTCCTAAAGCTCGGGCTGAAATCAATAATTATAAAATATTTTTTTACATTACTAGCAAATGAACATATGGTTGACCTTCAGAAAAAATATACAATCTAATTTAGATAATATTACTGTTTTTTACTGCAAACATTTGAATCAATTAGGCTTTTCCAACCGGTGAAACATTAACTACACAGTCAACTCATACAACTCCCACTGTTTGGGCTCTGTCTGGTCATCAACCTTATCTTCAGTCGTATAATTTCCCAGAATGGGCTATTTCAGCAGACGAACATGCAAAAAATTTGAGAGTTTTTGCTGCCTTAGATATGGATGCTGATGGGTTAGTTTCAGGCCCTGAAGTGAGAGATATTCTGATGCGATCCGGTTTACCTCAAGATATTCTCGCTCATATATGGGAGCTGGTTGATATACAGAATACTGGTTTGCTAAACAGGTAAATGCCTTTCACTTCAATTAACATTTCTACATTGTCTGCGATACTTTATTTGTCTTCACTGATAAATAAATATGATAATTTCCACAGATTCTTATTTATGATAACCACTTTGTACAATCGATTTTCCGGTTGCTATTACAGTTCTTTATGATGCTGTATTTCACTTGACTCCTATGATTAGTTTCTATAATTATACTTCGCTACATATCTAAATGTCTGAATATTTCTCTGTTAATTCTTTGACAGTGTCCTTTTTAAATCCAGTATTAGATGATTTTTAAAATATACTCTTATATACATATATGTGCATACACAAGAACTCTTATTTAATGGTCGAAAACAATCGATTCCCAATTACTAGGTTGTAACTCTGTTCAGGCGACTGGATTGTATCACTAATCCTCATAAAAACACGGGTTCAAACCCGAAAACATAAACTTGTACCACGTAATGTACATTAATTAATACATGTATCCGTCAAATTGTTTTTAGCTGTATATTACTGCATGTATATTATATCTTTATTTTTACTATATGAACTGTAGCTTCTTAGGCGTAATAACTATGTTTTCATTATCTTACCAGGCTTTAGGATCCATGGTTGTAAATATCGAACACTATCGCACCATTAATTGTAAATTTTTAGTCATTTTGTCCATTTTATTTTAAAGTAGAATTTGAGTTGTATTTTGTATTATAATAATTTTATTTGTATTTACAGTGAACAGTTTACAGTGGCCATGCATTTGGCAACGGAACAGTTATCTGCGGGCTCATCTAATCGTACCCTTCCTAATGTACTTCCACCCGCTTTACTTCCACCAAGTTTGCGCCCTATTCCTCCAGATCCGTCTATTTATGAAGAATCTAACAAACTAATTGTAGAAATAGAAGCATTAAGCCGGTATGTTATTATTATTGCCTTCACTCTTTGTAGCATAGGTTTTTCTTGTTCAATAATCGTTTTGTATTTGTTATTGATAAAGTATTTAGTTTGTGTTGACCATCAAACCGAGTGCACCAACTAGAATTACCCTGGTGGGTTTTAGTGAATATTTTTAATAATTTGGTCGTTATTTGTATAAGCTACTAAGTAGTTATCATCATCTATGTTATGGGGATTCTATCTGTAGACCTATTGGTCAAGGGATTTCATTTAAAGTAAAATTCCTTAGTTTTAACAAACCTGATGTGTAATGAAGTAGACGGCGGTAAAATGTAGCTCGAATTAGAATACCTTTATACTCCACTTCTTCTTTCTCTCCTAACACGGACTATTGCAACAGACTATCAGTTTATTGACAGAAGTTAGGGTTGACAGATCCGGGCAAATAATATATGCACACAAATTCAAAACATGTGAATATAAAACGCTTGAAAATAAGGTGAATATTTTGCAAATAAAAAAGAGCGTTTTTAGTTGTAGTTTGACTAAAGGGTTTGTTGTTTGGTGGTTACTGGGCGGAGTAGCGGAATTTTGTATTTAGTAAAATAAAAAATAACAGGTAAGTAAATTGTTTTATACTCATTTGAAATACTCGAAAAAACTTCGCGCTTGTCATATACACGAAAACTAAGTATTTGCCCTGAAACATTACTGAAATTCGAAAAGCTTTTCGATTGTCAGTGAAGTGATACAGTATGTGAACTGTGTTAAAGGAAAGTTGTTGTCCCCATAATTAAGTTGTCTTATCATGAATTATCGTTAGCTTCGTCACCTGATGTATAGTATGAAGCTTGGATAATAAAGATGTGTGGAGCTATGTTACTTTTTTGACCACTGGTATACTGTTTCTTTTTCTTAAAGGTTATTAAAGGTATGTATGTCTGAGGTTTATGTGCACTGAGAAATCATGGTTAATAAACCCTTTATTGACGTTTCGTTTTAATTTTTTAATAAAAATTTTCAGTGAAAAATCTGCAGTAGAATCTGATTATGTTTCTATGGCCAAAGATTCTCAACGTCGAGCATCAGAAGCCACTGCAAAACAGCGTACAATTGATACCCTTAATCATACAATCCGTAATCTAGCTAATCAACGTGTAGAAGCCGAACGTCGACTAGGCGATTATAGTCGTGAAAAAGATACATTAGAAAATGTGCTTAATGAAATCAAAAGTCATGTCGTGAATGAGCGTCAAAAAGTTGAAGAAATGCGTATTAAAATCAACTGTCAACAAGCCTCAACGAAAGTATGTTTTTTAATTTGTGATGTTTTAAAACATTTTATGTTGTCTTATCACCCTTCAGTTTCGTTAATTATTTTTCTAACCTTTCAACTCGTTTATAAATTCTGACGAGCAAGTTGAAAGTGGGATGTATTAGCAGTATTTTGTGTGACCAATCGGTTATTGGAGTATATATATAGTCTACATAAAAGGTATTGTAAAGAAATCAAAAAACTGAAAATTTTCTGCTTATTCTTATAGTCGGTAAATATCTTTTGTTGTGGATGTCCGTGAATATAGTTGATTGAAAAGCTTATAGGTGAGCCGGAAGATCAGGAAACATTCGGAAAGTTGTTGTTCATAAATGATATTTCATCAATTCTCTATGAGCAGTTAGCATCAATAACATCTAAAGAAAGCGGAGACATTTGATAACTTATGTACACTCGTATAAATTTTTACTAGGGAAAATGATTTGTAGTCATATTGATCAACTTCTGTTACATAAACCAAATGTTTTAAGGTAGCAACATGTACTTAGTTGTGATATGCACTATGTAAGAACACATATAATCGGAATTCGGCACAACTGACATAGTGTTTCCACTGGTGATGGTCGAATGCGTCTTGATATTTGAATATCCTGTATCCTAGTATATTATTCAGTATTATTTTTAATCATCGATTATTATTTTAGAGTCAAAAAGAAGAAATAGCTTGTTTACGTAATGAGTTGAATGAATTAATACGAGAAGAAGCGATGTTACAAGATAAAATAATTGAAAATCAACGCCGTTTAGAACAAATTGAAAAGGAAAACCGTTTAGCCCAGTCTCGTGTAGATCAAGTAAGTCACACTGTTACATCTGACTTTTTTTGTATTTCAGTTAGGTAATGAAAAAAACAGTATAGATTGTCTATTGTGTTTGATCGACACTAGTTCTATACATTTGTTGCAAACTAACCATCTCTCTGCTTTTATTAATTCTGTGAGTGTTAGCAAGTAGAAGTCAGTGGTTTGTTCAAGTCACAAAAACTGGCGTCTTAATACGATTAAACCTGTTAAGCACACATTACTAGACCTCATGATTACCAGCATGATGTTGCTACTAGATGTCAGTCTTACATGAAACTTGTTTATCAGTACACTTGCTTGATTTTTTCGTTTAAATTTTACTGACCTATTGTTAGCGATAGTTTTTGTTTTCTAATTCTTAGGCTAACATTAAACTTGAAACATTAGAATCTACTCGTGGTCAATTGTTAGAAGTGCTTGAACAATATAATGGCTTATTAAATGGTGATGAAAATATCAAAGAACCAGATGAAGCAAGGGTTAAATCGCTGGTTAGTTGACTAATTAATTAATGATTTTTATCATTTTATGTTTTCGTTTAATAAGTTCAACATTCTAGCATAAATTAATATTCTACGCTTTTAATTAATCTAAGTTTGCCTAATTGTTGAAAAAGTCCCATCATATTAAAGCACAAATGTATAAACGAAGAATATTCTTTCTAATAAATTCTGTTCAGGTTTTACAGTTATATATCCAAATTATTAATCCAAAATGTGACTAGGTTTACATGCTATGATTTTTAAACGATTTATTTCACCTTATAACTCGACACGTTTTAGATTATTTAGATATATAGTTCTAAAACATGGTAAGAATTTATTGAAAAAAATTCTTCGTCTATATATCTGTGTTTTCGCCTAATTGAACGATTGTTTACCCGTTCTCATTGCTCACATCGTCTTTACTTATCTGTTCACCGTTAACATTTTATTGAATATTTACACTACTGCTTCAAAATACTTTATTTTTGTGTGGTTCTTTTAGTCATGAATCCAAGGTACTCAGGATTATCTTGTTGAGTATACTTTCTAGGCATTAGTACGACTATCCATCATCAGCAATAATTTGTAATTATACTGAATTGAATTCGCTCTCTTAAAGTCATTTCGTTATTTAAATTATTTTGGATCTGTTTATTATTAAATCATTTCTAACATATCGGTCCTTTAAACTAATGGGATTCAAAACGTATATTTATATTTTGCACAAACTCTTGTGGTTTTTGCAACAAAAATCCTCTACCTGTATTTAAATTGATTGTTTATCGATTATTAATCTGAATCTCATTGAGTAAATCCAGACTGTCGGATTTGAACCAACTCAATGATCGTGATTAATGTTTGGAGATCTTTGGTAGTGAGTGACATTGTTCGAAATCGATCAGTATATTTCCGTTTATTCTTTATCTTCCTTTTGAATTTTGGTTTTAAACTTGTCTGGTACATTTATTTGTCATATTTACTCCTTTTTGAACCATATTGCTTATGTTTATTCTATCGTACTATTGATAATATTGTTATTGCTATGACTACTATGCTATCCGCCTTTTTAACTTTATCTCATCATTATAATGTGATAATGACAGCCTAGGTTGATATATATTAGTGTCATGTCCTACACTGACTGGCTAGCTATATGAAAATTATATTTGGGCTTTCATTCTTTTTAGCTTTCTGATGAAAGTGCAAAAGATAGTTTAAGAAGTTTCGATACAGGTCTTGATGGTGTAAATTGGCCAAATGATAATAATGCGTCTTCTTTTACTACTGGTATGTCAACTTTCTCAGCATTTGATACGGCACGAAGCCAAACTGGTGCTCACTCTGTACCACTTCCATTAATGTCAATGAATCCTGTATCGGGTGGTGATTGGAAGACGAATGAAAGATGTCTTCTAAATTCTTCACTTGGATTTCCATTTCCTTACGATCCTTTTGATAGTAATGATCCTTTCAAATCTTCTAAAGCCAATGAGTTTCATAAAGGTGAGTTATATATACTAATCGATCACTAAAAGAGTGACCGATAGTGTTTTTATTTTCTTAAATTCCAGGTACAGATGATAATAATGCATTAAACCGGGTTCTATTGTATGCAGACATAGCTAATGAATGTGAATAGTGGATGAATAGAACACATTGTGGACGATGTGTTTTATTCGGTGACATACTTCAAGGAAGATTTTTATTTCTGCTCCTTTCATAAGTTTTCACGTACAGTTACATATAATCACTGTTTACCTAATTGTACAATTTTGTACGTAACACTGGACAAGTAGCTGTAAATTATTCACTGTGTCTAATTCAAAAGTTTAAAAAGTGAATTCATTAACTACAATTTGTTCAACACTGACGTTTGCTCATCTTTAGAACTAAAACATAGATTTTGACTAAATTTTGGATGCTTGTTATGTCTCCCAGTACATATTTGTTCCATTGATTTTATTGTTACTTATTTTCAGATTGGTGGTGATATAAAAGCTAATTGGAAGCCAAGGTTTGATATATATATATATATATATATATATATATATATATATATATCATTTATGCATTTGTACTACTTCTATATATGTGTGTAACTATTGTCTATGAATGTCAGAGCGGCCATGACTTATGTGATAATTTTTTCTATCCAACCGATTGAGTCAATTAGAAATTCCAATGTAAACAAACCACAATTTATGTTAATTTACTAATGTTTTACCATTATCTCTTATCAGCTAAATTATTAAGATATATGATGACTCGTTATACGTACAGGTGTGAGTATGTGTTCATTTATGCATGTTAGTTGCATTCTGGAATTGGTCGTATTCTCTGTTAAACAACCTGGGAATTTACTTGTTTCATTAATGAACTATTTAATTTAATATGTTATTTCGTTATAATACTAGCAAGACTGCCTTAGTGAATAAGACGTTCAAATGTTGATCGCTAAGTTGCAGATCCGAGCACTGGTCGATCCACACGGGTTTTGGAAACCGGGTAGTATCACTAGACCTCAAAGCCAATTACATCAATCTGTATTTGGGGATTGTTATTACTTTTTTTCTTTGTAGTGCAAAGTTTTTATCGGTTATATCAGTGTTTTGTTTTCATGAGTTATCACATGGTGAACTACTCTGCTGTATTAGTCTATTACAATCGCGCTATTTTTGTATACAGTCTCTTACTGATTCACTTCCATTAGATGTAATAGGAATTTTAATCAATCTTAATTAGAAAATGAGATTCTATTGGACGTGATCTACTCGTCGGCAGTAATCTGTAGATAGATGACAAAAATAATAATCTTGAAAATGTGTGACATCTGATCACAATTTCGTTGATTTTGTGTTTATAATAACTCTGAGGTTTTGCTTACTTAAAACGATCCAGCGGTTTGAATTTTATCTCGAAAAAAATTATTTTCATTTATTGCTTATTGAATGCTAAACCTATTCAAATTATTTATTAACAGTGACATCATTTGTGAACTGAAAAAGTCATTTATTAACTTATACTTGTCTTCACTTGTCATCAACTTCCCACAACAAATGTATGGGGTTGGAGAAAATTGGCGACAAATGTATCACATCTCACTTTATCCCACAAATTTCCGTCTCCAACGGTAAAGCTCTAGAAGTACAGAGATAATTCGTTTAAATCTACTCAATCACCCTCATACCTCTATTATCACTCGAGATTACAATCGAATGTGACTAGATATTAATAATAACTGTTTTATAACTGCCTCCACATTTATTTCGAATGCATTTTTCTTTTGCAAACCAAATTGTCTACCACTTATAGAAAATTTCTGATTCGTTCGGAAAAAAATTATTGCTATTGTTAGTGTTGTTTCAAAAGAAGAAGAAAGAAGCATAATTGGTAATACACTGATTTGCGGGAAACGCAACATTATCAAAATCCTCCTTTTAAGTCCCAAATTTTCCACATGATCTAAGTAATAGAAAATTTTATGAAAAATTAAAAAAAAGATAAATGTTAAGAGATAGAAATTTAACTTCGAATTGGGTGTATCGTTGATTTTGTGATGTTCTGTGCTTTGTTGCTGTTTACTTTATAAACAGTAGTTAAGTGGATAACACGATTGCGTTTGAAGCGAACGGTACTGGGTTCGATTGCCGAAGTGAATACCAACTCTGGGATGGAGATAAATTCAACCGACGAGTCCCAAATAGGACAAAATGCGCTTCTCGACCTCCACTGCTAGCTACTATCCATCTTTGCTCGCAATGCTTGCTACTGAAGGCAATATCGAGGCAATCCGCACAGTATGCTTATATGCCAACGAGAGACTGATCAATTTCAGTCTTAAACATCAATTGGAAGATTTAAACAATCAATATAAAAATGAATTTATAAATATTCTTTAATATCTAGCAAAATTTATTCCTTTTGGGTATATAGTTCTTATTCTTTTTATTTCATCTATTTTATATGATAATAGAATCTGTTGAAGATCCATTTGCTTTGTCGAGTACAAATGATCCATTCAAGGATTCCGATCCATTTGGTATAGATCCATTTGGCTTATCATATTTAGTAAGTGAAAATTGTTTTTCAAATACTATTTCGGTCATTATTAGTAGTTGGTGTAATTTTATCAACTTTTTTTTCTTTGTAACAGTGCTTTTATGTTTCCCATACAAACTTTAATTATCCGTTTACATATTAAAGATGTTAACGAATACATGTGTTTATATTTGTACACATTTATTTTATGAATTATCATCGCTGTACAGTATATACTGTATATGTTTAATTTAACATTATCAGTTTTTTTTCACATAAAGTAGTTTAACGAATGGATATCTTTTGGGATAAAATATTATGGAAATCAAACAAAACGGAACAATCGCTTTTTTCTTTTTCATAACCTCAAAATTCTTAATAGTGGAAACATCTTTGATTATTTGTAGCATTTTTAATCCCCGTGTTGTATATGTTAACCTTAGGTTTTCAGTTCAATGTTCGACTTCAGTTATATTATTTCAGAAGTTTTAATTTTTGAGTGTAAAATGTATTTTTAAATGTTGTACTCGTAAGTTTTTTACTTTTATTGAATGTATGATGATTGCAGGCTTGCCGGTATATTTCCTGCTAGTTTTAAGTACTGCACAAAATCTATTATTTGTTTCATTCTATGTTAAATTGGTCAGTTAACACCGTATTAGGTTGCATGGAATTAGTCTTAAGATAATTTAAGATAGGTTGATAAAAACTGAATATACGGGCCTCTAGTGTGTGTGCTCTTTTCACTAAAGATATCAGTAACCTTAAATAAACTTATATCGTCTCATAAACCTAAACTTTGTTCGGCTTTGTCGCAGTTAACGATGTTGTCACTTGTTTATTCGGGCTAGCACTATCGGCTATATGGATAGATCAAAGTTTTATGGATTCATCACTGTCTATTCATTACTACTAGTCGGGATTCTGTCGTTCAGGTTCACAACGTAGTTATATCCTTGGATCCTTTTCTCAAATAAAGCCGTGTAATACACACACACACAATAATACAATTTGTAATGGTTTATGGATGATACCTTTGTTGATATTTTTGACTGGATTTTGATCAGTTTAAGTTAACATATGTGCATCCTATGCGAATTACCTCTATGCAGCCATTGTCACAAGTTTTCCTATAATACATGGGATGTGGCTAACAGTGGAATCTAAAATGGTCCTTTCGTCATATTTGGTGCATTTTAGCTGGATGTCCCTGGATCCAAGAGTTATTTTTTACTTCCGGACTCGGACCCAGCTCTTTTAGCTTCAAACGCCTAACACATTATCTATTTATCTACTGAATCTAGATAGCTACCCACCTGTTCAACTAAAATTTAGTGTTTATTTAAAAAGCCATATACAATAATTTTATGCAAATCTTACTTGTTTTGTTTTATAACTTTGATTCGTTTTTTAAAAAGTAAAGTTAATTTTATGAACCCAAATATTGAAAATCATCATCTCAGATCTCGGTCAGTACTTCGTTTGGCAATTTTCGACATCTTCCACATATACGAAATTTTATATTTCGGGATACAAATATCGAAGTTGTCCTCAATGTAATTACGTCGAAAACATTGTTTCTGTAAGTAGGACATTTGTAAAGAGAGACGCGACATTCGATGATATCGCTTTTTTGCAAATTACATTGACATTCATAAACGAATAGACAAAATTTAAATTATTTGATCTGAGAAACTATGATTAATTGCTGAATTGTCCAAATAAGAATGGTTTTTGTGACTATATTATCAAATTATTTTCCATAATACCAGATGAAGTTGAACTTACTTAAAAATCCTCTTTGAAGGATGTAACCGAGAAGACTGCATAGATGTTATTGAAAATCCTGAGGAAGTTTATTATCAATAATGATCTTTAAGGACGTCTTAAATCATCTGGTTTCATTATCCAAAGACCATACAGGCTCCTAAAAGTTCACAATAAGAATGTCTTTCTGCTTCTCATACTCGGTCTTATCAACTTTCCTCACTATTTGAATGTTAATTGGCTAACTGAAGATATAGTCAGTCAGAAGTCATGTCAATAGATACAAGATACTGGTTTCATTCATCTTTGTCCATTGATTAATACAAATCAAAAAGTGATATCATTGAATATCGCTTCTCTCTTTACAAATGTTACACTCACAGTAACAATTTGTTTTTGTGTGACTGTATTAAAATATAACAACTTCGATATATTTATCTTGAAAGATTATCTGGAACAACTACTTCAATGCACTTACACTTACTATTCAGAATTAAAAAATGTAGATATATGAATGATGAATAGTAGAGTGGTAAGGTGGTGTTTGGAGGTAGTTGACAGGAAACCCTGGACCTAGGTTTTGTGCTACTCGGCACTCGTCAGCAGTGTGTACCTGTCATCTTGAAGGGACTGAAACTCGCTGACTAATTCGATCCTATGTCACTCAGCTTCAAAGTCAGAGATGTTACAACTGAACTCTCTGGACAGCTACTGACCTCCTGTAAGAATGAGATGTATTTACAGCTGATGGATCACGGGGTAGATTGAAAGTATATCTTGCTGACACGTATCAAATAGTATGAAATTTAGGTCAAGAGTTTCCTGTTGATTACTACTCACTTAGGCTTGTGGCTATATTGCAATTTGTTCAATAGAATTCGATTTGAATTAAGAAAGACTTGACACATATGACATTGGTCACTACTCAGTGATCAACTTATTGTAAAAGCATATTAGGTAATATTACCGACTAATAACATTGTTCTAGACTTAGTCAACGTTTTATGCTGTTTAGTTTTATTGTAAATAAATTTGTCCACAAACAAAGATATTATTTTTCTACAGAGAAAAATTATCGTTTGATTAAGCATTCTGTTCTCTACCGGTTATATTTGTTAATGAAATGAAGTAAATCGTGCGATATGATGCTGATACATCATCGTCACCTTTTGTTTTCAATTTATGTCTATGAATTTTTGATTATAAATATCTAATAGGTGTGTGGCGCATATGTATTTGGTGCCTCCCTGTACCTATACTTATGTGTTAAAATAAATAAATAAATAATAATATAGGTGTAAATATCTACACAAGTTTTTGCTAGATTGAATCTTATCATAGTAACACAACTGAAATTTTCTATTAGTTTATAGAATATTTCTTTTGTCTTGTGTTAATGTTTTGTTCTACATTGCCGAATCCTATGTATTACATCATCTGTGTGTGTGTGCCCGTGTGCATACACACTGTATCTTTGTTTTCCTGAATGTTCATTCTAGTTGTTTATATCATATAAATGCCTACACTTTTTTATATAGAAAGAATTATTTCTATAACTTCCTTTTTGTGATTTTTGTTTGTTGGATTGTTACTTTTCATGTGATATACGCTGATCATAATAGCTTTTTTTGGTTTTCAAAAATATTTTCAGATATTAGAACAAAAAAAACAAGTTTTATAGCTGATTAGTGAAATTTAGATTTTTAGTTACATTTTTCAGTTATACGTCTAATAGTATGATTTAAAAATATCTACTTCAAAAGAGTTTGAAGCGAATCCAATTCGTCCACGATCTGGTCTGAAACCAAACTGATTATTCCGGGTTTTCTCTCTATGAGTTTTAGATAAACATCGGATAATTATTGATACTAATATTTTAGATAGCATATTAGTCGAAATAATCCCTGTATTGATTACTGAAGGATTCTATTCCTTTCACATAAACTGAGATGATCAAAAATTGACTTATTATGAACCTGCTACTAAATTCCGATGAGATTGGTGGATATTGAAAAAAAAACTAATCATAGCACCTTTTGATTTGCTTGAATTGCTGAGGTTTCCGTTTGGACTTTAGAATGCGACTCGAAACTTTCACAGATTTGCGAATAAGGCCACCAAAGGAATTGGTTCTTTTTTTTAAATTGACGGTATTTTAATCACCAGTTACTTATCGAACAAATATTTCAAGTACTTCCTGACTTTATTTGGATGTTTCCAAATTTATGTGATAGTCATCAACTCCATTAAGTAAATTTTTTTGTGTTCCTGTCTTAGATTCTCTAGGACACCACATTGACTCATACGAAATCTAATCTTTACGTGAGAAGGTTGCCGCTATGTTAAGCTACTCCTAACAAGATTCTAGTAAGAAGTTATGGCATTTTGTGGGTATGTTGGGTTTCTATCGGCACTCTATACTTAAATATAGAGTCTTACTACGACATCTAACCAACCTACTCAGAAGGAATAAAGAGGATTTCAATTTCTCCCATTAAGTGAAGACTACTTTTCGGGACGCGAAAACAGCAACACATTTTCACGTGTTTATTCATGATCTATCGTCCATTTATTTTGGCCACTTGTCGCAAGATCACGATTCTAACAGACCTCAAACATATGTGGTATTCGTTTATTACCTCATCTGATAAGTACTCAAATCGCGTAATCAGATGACTAGATTTAACATATCAATTCACCACTGATATCAAATCTATCGAACGTAATTACAGATGCATTATCTATAAGCGGAGCCGACATAGTTATTCAATAAAGTAGCATCAATTAATGCAACATGGCTAAGCTCCAGCTAGATGATCCAAATTTGAGTCTGTATTGAATAGTCTGATTTAATCCTTAGGACCATTCCTACTCCATTTTGGGATTCTGTCTTTGCGTTCCACCCGGTACCGCTTATTTGTGTCATAGTAACGGAGAAAATGTGCAGCATCTCCATTCCCCATCACACGTTTGCATTCGGGCCTCGGTGAATTTTGTAACAGATCGTTCCGTTTGGGCAATAGTAAATGTTGAGATCAGGTGTTTGAAGTTTCTTGTACTACCAGCAAAGTAAGATTTACTGACACACAACTATCTAACCGGATAAGTTTTAAACGTCTTCAGCAAATACATAACAACTATCCAAATCTCCCACATATATGTTTATAGACATCGAATGCCTCACCAGATGTGGGATTGTATGTCCTTATAATTATACCTTTTCCAAAGCCGTTGCTTCTGTGTTCTTGGATGAATAGATTTTCAACTTCGGTGTTAATTACACTATCGCTACGGATTGTGAATCCCAGTTCCAATCGATATTGTTTCATGAGGTCTCCCTTCCCCTAGGAGTCCATTAATTTACTACCATGGTCTACCGTGTATAGAATAGTTCAGTGGGAATATTACACCGCCAGTTAAATAGCTCGCTAATTTCACAGTCTGATACGACAAAATGGAGTGATCCCCTACCACTAGCTTTCCTTGAAGGAGACAAGTTGTACGACAGCCAAACTAGTATTCGACACAACATTAGTTTCACCCTTCTAGTTAATCAGTAAAGAGGATAGACAAAAACCGATTGAACACGTTTCTCAATCAGCTTATAAGGTAATCGGAAACTATATTCATTTTACCCGCGCATACACCCGTCACACGCAAGTCATTAAACACCTAAGCGCACTTAAATTTGTCTATATTCTCAGTGCAATTAACGTATCAAAAAATATCCCATAATCGGGAAGCAAAAAAGTAAGGGAACTGCCTCCAACGACCTATACAAACCATCTCTTATGGCTAACGAACAGAAAAAAGTAGCATTAAGATAGATAAGCATGTCCTTTCTTCTGACCCACCGAGGTCTAAAGGCAACACCATACCTCTTCAAACACATACCGTACAACTAGAAGTTAAAGGATAGCAACTAAACCCAATCGTTATGTAAGTTTTGTCAACAAACTCATTTTTGTATTATCTTCAGTATGTGTTCAAGGCAAATTAGTTTAGCATTAAATGTTTACATGACAACCATCAATACCTTTTCCGCATTGTCGATCCATCCATATGTTGTCACTTGTATTAGTTAAAACTTGTCTTTAAATGCTGCTTTTGCCTGATTTTTACAGTAGTGTAAAACGATTTTTTTGTTGTTGTCAATTTAAATATATTAGCCTTTGATTAAACACTAAGCACACCAAACATCTTTAGATTATCAAATTCCGTTACAATTATTCATTTCTGGGAGACAGATTGGAATTTCTTTGGATTTAATGCTTGAAATTGAAATTATTGTATTTTTACTATGGTTATTTTTTATTGTCTCTTCGAATTACTCTATGATAAAAACGAGGTATAATAGTGTTGATGTTAATAAATTATATGTCCCATTCGACTGCTTATGTACACTGTTGACAAGTATCATTAATAACAATGCTGATATAAAATTTAAATACGAAAGTAATTGGTGAACGTAAATTTTTAACATTCGATAAACGATAAGAGACGAAAGAAATGCATGTGAACTTTATTGGCAAATATAACTAAATTTTATTAAACGCAATTCAACATTTATAATCAGACAGAAAAAGAAATCTAAAGAGATATGGTGAATAAAGAAAGTGACTAACATTTATGCTCACACACCCTCATTAAAAGTAATCAAGTTTACGACTTTATGTGTACATCAAAACATTAGATTCCCTTGGCTTGTATCAAAACATCCCCAAAACTGGTTGTCTTCAGTATATAAGAATTTAGTTCAAAAAATTGACTGTGTTCAAAGATAAATTAACCTGAAAGATATACGAAGAATACTAAATTAGCAGATAGAAAAATGTACTATTTCATTGATGGTACAATAGTACGTGAGGAATAAGTTTATGAGACTATAATACCGTACGTCCTTTTTAGGAAATATGTACGGATTGTGTTTATGGATGGTCAATAAGTATGTTACATTATGACTTAGTGAATGTATGTGAAAAAAACCAAACATGTTGGTATGATTAATTCATAATTGTGTGAAAAAAGTCATGATAAATCGTCTATTTTTTTTTGGAGTTCGATAGCTCGATAAACCTCAGCAGATGAATCAAGAAGAATTTTAATATGACAAAAATTGATCTATAGTGCAGACATAATGAAGATAAAGGTGATGCGTTAGGTCAATCAGGAATCTGTCAAATGATAAGTGTTTTATTTATTTTTTTAACACATAGATATTTACTTTGTCTCCCTATTCTTTTTTTTTCTATATCTAGATGGCTAAGGATAAAAAGTCTCCAAATACTATTGGTAAGTTAATATCCGCTATTATTATTATGTAGGTATCAATGCCAAGGTTGGACCTGGGATGTAAGAAATAATATATCTATTTTTATGGTTGCATTTGAACTAAGATTCTATTGGTAACTTTCCCCAAAGTTTTTGATAGAATGTTTCTTTATAGTTATTTGTACACTAGGTTACTTTTTAATAAGTTTCATCTGACAAACTTCTCATCATCGTTTTAAATTTTGTATACTTACTGTACCAGTAGCAGTTAATTAAAGCATATTATCATCATATACATTGATGCATGGTAATGGCTGGTGTAGATATAGTTCTGAGGAAAGCTAGGAACGGTCAAACCAAAACATCATATCTGTCCGTGAAGTTATTGCTTGTTGGACGGGGCGGTGTAGTCAATGATTAGAGACTAAATGAAATGTCTCAGAATCGTTAGCAATGGTACAGGTGCATTTAATCTTTGTCCTCCCTCGGATTCTAAGTTTCTTTGTGATTTTTACAAGTTTTTTAACCTACTTCATAAATCCTTTTTTCAATCATACCCATTTTGCGGTCATAATTTTTCTACCATCAATAATACTATTACCACTTATGCAGTGTAGCAACTTCAACTGATGGAGATATGTGCCAGTTTCTACATTATATATGAATGACTCATTAATTATACCTAGTTCAGTATTTTCAATAAATCAGACTGAAGCATTTCTATATACTTTATGTTTGCTATGTTATACATTTAATACTACAGAGTGCATACCATGTATGGTCTAATGTTAAGGTGAAATATATTTGATTTTCTTATAGCAAATGTTATTTTTTCAGAAGTGTGCACTTTATGACTAAATTTTCGGGTAGTTTGACTTCTTTTGGAGTTCTTTTATCACATGTAAATACTCACTGATTTATATTAAACTAATAGTAATTAAAATTGTAATGATACTGTTAATAATATAAAAAAATAATAAACCGAACTCTTTGTTTATAGGGATCATTTGGGGAATGTAATAAACTGTTTCTTTCCTATTAAAGTTTAACTACCGAATTCTTGCAATATAGGTACCTTTCGATATGAATTCTATGATTTTCAAATTGTTTGAGATTTATTTATGTTATATGATGTCAGTTTATAGATATTGAATTGTTTCATCTCATTTTAATAATTCTCTAAATATCGTATTTTATAAAGTTTTCAAAAGAAAATTTGTCTTTGTTTAGTTGTTCAATAAATTGTAACGAGTAGTTCAGTTTGAAGATGGTTTTCATCTTCGAATCCAAATCACTTTGAATATACATGCATTCAAGTGTCTTTTCTAAAGATAATTATCATTTAATAATGGGTTAGCACTTTCTTCCCATGTTTCTATTTATAGCCTCAGCATTTGATCCTTTTAAACCGGACAGCGTGTGTCCTACTGTTCTTCCAGAAAATTCATTGATTGGAGCAGATTTCGATGCTGTACGTTAAACTCTAAATAACACATTGTAAATGTTTTTTTGATACTAATAATTTTTATTGATTTTCCACTTGATATTTTAATAATTTCATAGAAATAAGATTATCATAGTTTTTCAGGCATTTCATTAATCAAACCTTGATCCATCTTCACAAATTGTAGCATAAATACCTATTAATTTTGATCCTGGAGACATTGTTTCTTCATTTTTAATCCTCGAGTTTAATTAGGTTAACCGTTACAAATTGGGCATTATGTGCAGTTAATCTGCTTATAATTTGTATTAAATACAATCAGTGTCGAAGAGTCTACTCATTGGAGCTCATATGCTAACACAAGCTGACCACAGTTAATCATGAATATCTACAACGGAAAAAGGCAACTACTTCACAAATAAAAATTGTCTCCGTTAACATTAATAATAATTATTATTAGTGTGAAATACGAATTCGATTTATTTGAAATGCTTTATATAAAGAAATACTGTACGCAATATAAATAGATTATCATACATAAAATTAAACATTACATGGATATAATAAGCCATATTCGTATAAAACTTATCAGATAAATTGTTAGTGGTAATTACTTTTCAAATTCACAAATAACAAACAGGTATTTGGACCTTCCAATGGTGAGCTATCGAACATGACTGATCCGTTTGGTAGTGATCCATTTACACCTTCAAGTACCTCATTCATGATGAATACAGGTACGGCTAATAACAAAGAAACAAAGAATCATATGAATTCTGTAAAGAAGTCTCCACCACCTCGACCAAAAACTCAACCAACTCCTGGTAAATCTATTCGAGCTTTCAAAGTAGGTGTTGTCTTCTTGTTATTGAAAATATTGTGACGTTAACATACAAGGTTCTCTTTGTGTTGTTTTGTTCTTTTTAAATAATTTTTTACTTGGTTTACCTCAAGGAGTAATGCTCTAATGTATAAGGAGCTTTTTGATATTATTTCATCATAAAGTTTGTCTCCTATTTCTGATTGTTCAGTCCACTACTTGCTTATCTATAGCAGTTTTTTCAGATGCTTCGTGTGCTCTAGTTAGTAACACCTATCTAGTTGATGTTAATCGGTTATGCTAACAGTAGTGTTAGAGATTTATATATCCAGAAAACTTACTGCTTATGATTTTTGATATCTGTCTCACTTATGATATTCTTCCGAAACAAACTCGAAATTCCCGAATTCTCTTATTACAAATTAGTTTCCGTGTTGTCTTCTTGAAATGAAGGCTTCAAAAAAATTAACAGGTAAAAGAATACGAGTATATCTTCCATTGCTCGACAGAATTAAATCTATGGTATAATGTTTGCTATTATAGTCAATATTTGATAGAATCCGAAATTCTCCTTTTGATGCACTGTAGACGAGATGTCCACCTGTCAACCAAAGATCGGGTCTACTGCGTACCAATCATATGTTTATTTTTATGGGTGTGAAACATGGTCATTAAGGATAGATATTTATAAATTGCTAATATTTGATCATATTTGTCTTCGAAGCACTATTCGTGTTTTGAGACCATAAAATAAACAATGCCAGGGTTAGACATAGAGTACAAATTGAAAATGTTGATTTGGTTGTTGGGGTAACAAATGCGCATCAACTGAGGTGGTTGGGACATGTGTTACATATACCCAGCTACTGCCTACCTGGACGGGTGATGTTGTTTGGTGTAAGAGTGAGCTGAAAGAATCCGAGGAACAGTTAAACCAAAACATCGCATCACTCCATGAAGTCACTGAGAATTGGACTGATTCGTGTTAACATGTATAGAATACCTGGTTGAGGCCCACGTGATTTTCGTAACCAGTGGTTAGAGAAGTAGAATAATGATATGATGGGAAGAAACGTCAATTTTCGATTGGTTTACTCAATATGAGTTTTGTTCATCATTACATCCGTTTTGATTCAATGTAATGATTACTCAATATAGTATTTGTTTTCTTTTCTCGTATGATATTTTATCCTGTATCATATACGATATTATTGTATTCCATTGATCTGAACTATGCTCAGTATGTGATTTGTTATAACTCTGAGTATTTTTCATATGTGTGATTTCATCCTAATTATTAATCAAAATGGGTGTACTATCAATATATGAATGAATATATTTTCTACCATTTTGATCATCATTATCGTCGTCATAGTGTTTTGGGGCTAATAAATCTTCACTTATACCAGTCTTTGTGTTCTTACTTCTAGTCGTGGGAATCGCAGAGATCCCTCGTTCCAAGTATAAGTGATTAGCATTTTTCGCGCACGGCAATCAGCGACGACCAAACATAACAAATAATGTGGCTCATAATCGTTTACAGTAGTTCAGGTGCATTCACTCTTCATCTTCACTTAGCTCTCGAATCATTGAATCTCTTTGTACTACTTTGTTTTACATCTGATCTTTTCTGCCATTACTGCTAATACTACCACCGCTTTTACTAATCTTGGAATTGCCTTGATATTTTCTTCTCTCTGTGCTAATGTGGCAACTTGAGCCGACGCATGTATTTGTCAGGTTCAATGTTCGATTTTACTGACTGACACAAAAGTTTGGTACATATAACTTCCTTTATATGATTAAAAAGCGAAAAAATAAATATTTGTGCAGATCGACATAAATCTCTTTTAGTAATTAACATCAGTTAGGTGTCAGTCAACCTGAATTAAAATTCAGAACTGTAATGAATTAAGAGTTAATACAATAAGATTAGTTTAATGTCATCAGAATAAGGCGAAACTTTTGTATTTACTATGTCTTCCCTATTCTTCGGATTTTCTACATCAGTTAAATCAGTACAAAATATTACAATTAAGAAATCATAATATCTACATAATTCGAACAACCTCAATGATAGTTCCTAATTATTTGAAGATAATTTAAGAAAGGTAGAACATATGATAATGGTTGGTAGACAGAATGAAAGCTTGTGACAGGAATTTAATAACTTCACAATGAAATGGCACACAATAATTATTCTAAGAATAATTCTAATATTTCCATCCATTATTTGTCCCGATATATATATATATATATATATATATATATATATATATATATATTCTAGTGATGTCAGGAGCAGATTCATGTTAATGGGCTTCTGGAAACGTGAAAAAATTGGAGGCCTTTTTGTCCGATTATTATGGAACTCCTTGTCTGTACTCATCCTCGACATTTCACCTGGGAATCGTGTCCTGAACTTTCGGTAGACAATGGTCTACCTCTAATTGATTCATTATGTTTCACAAATGTTTTTAGTTGATTCTATTTCCGGCTACGTAATATCATGAATTGACTTCATTTAAACTTGTTCACAGTGGGTCGTGACTCAGAGTGGCCCAGGAGTTTAGTCTTTGCGTTTAATACCGAATGTTCTGTTTTCGATCCTCAGCCTTATTGATGCGCACTGTTTTGTAGTATAATACGACTAAATGGGTGTACAGTGCTTTAAGTCTTTCAGTGGTTTTCGAACTTAGATTGGTTCTCGATACCACTAAAATTGGACAACTTCCACAATTCGCATGCTGATATTGAGTACTATTGATACTTATATATTTTTTTATTTTATTTTTACAGTCTGTGGATGATAATTCTAATTTTTCTACTTCTGTTCATCCTGCTAACTTTGATGGAGATTTTACAGACTTTAATAATTCATCATCATTATCATCAACAATGACTACTATTCCATCAAGATATCGTAAACATTCAGTTAGTGGCGTTGCTGGTGTTAGCGGTAGTAATTCAATTAATCAGAAATCAACATTCACTCTAAAATCAAAACCTTCTGGTAAAAGTATAAAAAAGGATCCACAAAATTCCCCATCATCATCTTCACCATCATTAATAAATAAAATAAAGAATATGAAATCTGCTAGTGGTAGCACTGATGTTCCGTTATCTGATGAAGCACGACTTTCATGGGCTATCATTGAAAGTCAACGTCTTGCACAAATCGAGGAAGAAGCTCGGAAACAAGAAGAAGCTGATCTCGAACTGGCACTTCGTTTAAGTAAGCTAGATTCATCAAATCGACATTAAGAAAAATAATGAGGATCGATTATTACATTTATTCACATCTGTGAAAACCTAGAAAATAACAGTAACAAACGTGTTGTCTTCTCATTCACCGATTTTATCACTCCATATTCATTTTTAATTTAGGTTGGGTTAACTGTTCAACTCCTTTTTCTTGCATATAAATACATGATTTTTACGTACGAGACTTGCATCAATTTATTCGTTCTCTTTTGTTAATATGAATTATAAAAAAAGAAACTATAGAAAGGAGAGCTAAAGAGAGAAAAACATGAAGAATTTGTTGTGTCGATGAGTAGAAATTCTGTTGAATATAGAAATTGTATTTACAGTATTGTACATTGATTAATGTAAATCATTGAGGTTACATAAATGATTTGTCATATGTGTACTTGTATTTGTTGAAGTATGAAATATACTTAAAATGTTTGCTTAATATGATAATAAAATAGAAAAGATTCTGTTGTACACAACCAAATACACTTATGTACTTAAACAACAGTTACTTACAATAATAATATTATTAGTCTCTAGTTCCTTAAATTTCAAATTTTTATTATGAGTTATATAATTTATTATTTATGAAACAAAGTTTGCATAACATTTTACTTCATTGTTACACGCATACACTTTGAATAATAATTACTTAGTCTATGGATTGATTAAAAACAGTTACATTGAATATTGTAGTAACATTGATTTTTAGAATAAAACTAATTATCTATGTATTCAATTGTTGCATTAAACTTAACATTGGTTGCACTTTCGAGACTAACACAATTTCTAAATATCATAGGGGAAATCGGGTCTATTTCACTCATGTAACTACATATAGTTCCAAATCTCAGCACTTTGTATCAATCAATGTAAATATGTTCTGTGTTTATTCCGGGTCCTTAAGTTGTTGACAGCGCGTCATTGAGTCAGATATTACTGTTGCGACATTTTTCAAAAAGTAGGTACACTCAATCACAACACATCAGGTCTCAGTATTCATGCATCAACCCTAATAGATGATTACCTGGTTAGCTCATGAAATTTCAGCACAATCGCTATTTTTGCTTCAGGTCATTATTTTAAACCATCCCGATAGTATGACTTTCAAATGGTATGTCTCAATACTACGAGACTGTTAGATATAGATATTAATATGGATCATTTACAATGGAAGACCTATTGGTCTGTTGTACTAATGGACTGAATTGTCTCGTACATTTCGCGAAAGTCTTATGATGTATAGATTCTTGACTCATGTCCAGATTGTTCTCCGCATCTAACTATGAGGCTCCCTACAGGTATAACATGTTGAAGATAATTTTGTTTTGGAAGGAATTCTGTTTTTACTCAATACTTCATTAAATGCATACTATTCGCAATCACCATGTAATGCCTTAATTTTGATGTGCATTAGAAATATCTAATCTGACAAAAGTATTTGCTTTTTTATCTAAATTACAGAATAAATAAATGCTTTCCAAGATGGATCAGTAAAGTTAATAAATACATGAGAATCACATGTGTTTATAGTCGAAAAGGTGTAACGACAAATATTCCACTATTTGGTGAAGACGCAGTTCATTGAAAACGTTTTCTGTAGCTTGATAGCTAGTGACATTCGAGATAATTAATTTCCGATCATTTAGAGTGAGTGTTCTCCTACGGACGATAGTGCTTTAAGCCGTAAGACATGCGATTATTTCGAATGATTTTGCTGAAACTGTTAGTCTCATTTTAAGTACTAAGTTAGCATAAATTATGTATCTCTCGAATGCTCTCAGTACTACTTTTTAAAATCAGTACCTAACGGGTTCTTTCTAAGCTCATTTTACGTGGTGTTAGCCATCCTTAACGGTATAGAATTATATTGGCAAATCGTTCGGTGTTACCTTGTCGTTTTTTAGTTCATAGTTCTAGGAAAACGTTTGTAGTACAGGCATACCATAGGACTGTTCTGAATGTTACAGCTGCCTGATGTTCGTTGTTTTAAGTTTAGGATACACCAATCTTCTCATTTGAATGATGCTTTGGTATTTGTACGAACTGATTATTCCTTTACACATGACTAACTTCTTATAAGGGATTCCGAATACAATACGTTCGTTTGTGCTCTTTCGTTTCTGACAGGCTTAAATTGTACTGTTCAAGGATATACTAGTTAGTACAATAATTCGAGTACTTCCAGTTATGATGAACATATTTAGTGTTACGTCCCAATTTATCCCAGGTGCAATGTTTTTGCGTTAACTGTATATGCTTCTCTTGTTTACTTAGAACGTCACAGGTGAGATGTTGAACTATCATCACCTTATCATTCTACAAGCTCAACTTTGTGCTCTGTGTCATTAGGAGTTTGTTATGTTCCTCTGTCAATAAATGTTCACGTGTTCGAACAAAATGGACAGCTTACAGGATAATATCAATTGATGGTTGAAACAAGTAGACATTTTGAAAAAATCACATTTGATAATAGATTAGTTTAGCTAGTGGAATTTCGAACGTGTGTCATAAAATATTTTTTTCACACAAACGTGGGGGAACCAGAAGTGACCTCATCAGACAACGATCGACTCAGAATTTCGAAAGTTTTAATAACTGCTATTATTGTTTGATGGAACCAAAGCTTAATAAATAAGAACAGTAAGACTGAATGCATCTACGAAAATTACCACATCATTCAAGAGGCTATGGCATGTCCTAGTGGGGTCCCCCAAGGTTCAGAACTAGGACCTCTTCTCTTCCTGGATTATATTGTAGTGACCTATTTTTAACAACAGAACGCGATTGGTGTAATGGAAACAATTACTATTATAACCAATTGTACCAGTGATTGTTTTACTGTACTTGTTTGTTTATCTATACCAAAGACATTCTTCCTTCTGTTGATTGTGACCTTGTACGCGCCTACGTTTGCTCAGCGAATCCGCTTGTATCTCCTTTGGCACGATCTCGGTATACTTTCGATACCACGAGATCGCCAACGAATAAATCTGGTTTCAAGCTTCATTCGCCTTCTGATTTTCCGGTACGTGCTTTTCTTTTAGTGGTGATCATAGTCAAACGCGACTCGACGCCACGCTAAAATTGGTGAACCCAAAAATACGAACACTTTTCAATCGAGGCTAAATCTTCCAAAGAAGCCAATCGCGGTGAGTCTATTACTTATCTATCCACGCATGTTGCACATTTTCATATTGATATTTTTCAATATCTAATATTCTGGCAACAACTTGAAATGACGGATAACGATAAGAATAGTATTAATATAATAGACTCTGACGTACATGTTATCCATTTTCAACCTGTATCTGCAGCTAATCGATGCTTCGTCGAACAGCAACTTCATGGGCTGCAAAGCCCATATAAACGCGTTCCGAATACTAGGCACCTTTTATTCGCGTGGCGATAAATTACACTCTTTATTCGAGAAGTCCTCCAAATTAACTAAACCACTTGAGGAGCTTTCACTGGTGACCAATCGTGTAGTACACCACACAGTCAACCATGGACCCCCAGTCACGGCAAGACCACGCCGACTGGCACCGGACAAACTAGCCTTCGATAAACGTGAGTTTGACTGTTTACTATCTACTGGTATTATTCGTCCTTCTCGCAGACCCTTGTCCTCACCTCTTCACATGATGCGCAAAAAGGATGGGGTTATTTGGAGACCGTGCGGCGTCCACCGAGCACTAAACGTGGTTACACGCTTTGATAGCTACCCCATCCCACACGTATACGACATCACAGCATCGCTCAAAGGAACGACTATCTTTTCTAAGATCGATCTGGTACGAGCATATCACCAAATCCCAGTCACTCTTGAAGATATTGAGAAAACCGCTTTTCTCAGTTCGGTTAGCTTCTATCGACGTATCATCCCACACGCGGCAGAACGATTACGACCATTGACCGATTTACTTCGTGGTAATCCATGCAAATTAGAACTGAACGATGCCGCACGTGCTGCATTTTCAGAGATAAAAACTGCTCTGGCTCAAGTTACACTACTCGCTCATCCTGACCCATCTGCCACGCTTAGTATAGCGGCTGATGCATCGGATTTAGCTATAGGAGCCGTTATGAGACAGAATATTTACGATAGTTGGCAACCTCTCGAATTTTTCTCATTACGCCTTACTCCCACGGAGACGAGATATAGCGCTTTTGGTCGCGAGCTACTTGCAGCCTACTGCGCCATCAAACATTTCTGGTACGCAATAGAAGGACGCCATTTCATTCACCGACCACAAGACGTTAACGTAAGCCCTGCATTCCAAGTCTGACCGTTATTCACCACGAGAATGCAGACATTTGGACTATATTTCTCAGTTCACGACGGACCTTCGTCACATTGAAGGCGAGTCGAACAATTTTTTTGATGCTCTTCACGTATCCAAGCGAATGCAGTTAATTTACCGGTGCTGGAACTTCCCTTCTATGGCCGTCGCCTAAGCAAACGATCCGTTCTGCACAGAAGCACCATAATCTACATCCCTTCAGTGTCAGGAAGTACCGCTAGCTACTAGCTCAGGTACCATCCTATGTGATATTTCTACCGGTCTTGCTAGACCCATCGTACACTCTGATTACCGCCGTCTCGACTTCAATGCCACACATGGACTGTCTCATCCAGGTATCGCAGCTACATTACGTCTCATGGCTGCACGATACGACTGGCCGTCCATGAATATAGATGTTCGTATGTGGGTAAGGTAATTCTTACAGTGTCAACGATCAAAAGTGCACAGGCACGTAGCTGTCCCCATCGGCACGCTTGCTATGCCTGAAGCTCGCTTTGATCACATTCATATAGACATTTTGGGACCATTGCCAATATCGCACGGGTATGATCACATACTCACGTGCATCGATCGTTTTACAAGATGGCCCGTAGCTATCTCCATCATGTCTATTACGGCGGAGACAGTTGCTCACCGCTTCGTATAACGATGGATAGCACTGTACGGTTGTCTCTCAATTGTCACGACTGACCGACGACAACAATTCGAGTTCAAATTATTCTCCTCATTGACCTGGCTGCTTGATACGGAACGCATACGCACTACCGCCTGCCACGCGGCATCAAATGGTTCAGTTGAACGGTTTCATCGCCAACTTAAAAGTGCTCTTTGAGCACACGAAATCGACAATTGGTAAGAAATCTTACCGCTCGTACTCTTCGCTATCAGAACGAGTTTGAAGGCAGATATTCAATGTTCCGCCGCTGAACTTGTATACGGCACGACATTGCGTCTGCCTGGGGAATTCTTCACACCATGGAGCAGTAATGATTTCGGTAAATCAGACTACATTGATCGACTGTCTGAATTAATGCGAACGCTGTCTCCGGTGTCAACTCGAATACAACATCAACAGGTTGCTCTCCCCCGAGAGCTATCTGCCTGTTCACATGTTTTCACACGAGTAGATTCGGTACGCAAGCCACTGCAACGGCCTAACGAAGGACCTTTACACGTGATTTCTCGTCACGAAAAGACCTTCAAGGCTGATGGACATGGCCGCGTCGAGATCGTCAGCACTGATCGTCTCAAACCAGCACACGTCAATGAAAGTGCCCTACTCGATAACTTGAGACATAATGCTAGGCCTATCAAACCTATTAGCGGGATCCTTACATCTACTTCAGATCCCACGCTAGGTACATCAGAGGCCTCGTTCTCACGTCCCGGTCAACGGCACGCGTCATCTGCACCGTCTCGCTTCCAGACCA